TTAGGATTACTTGCTTTTAGGGCATGTGTGTCTGAATCAGAAATGATAGGTTCGTTGTATTGTTTGTTTACAGTTTTATTATTACTGTAATTCAATAGTTTATTTTACCAATTACCACAATTTCATATTGAACACAAGCATTTTATTGTCTACCATTGTAATGACTATAACGTAAATGCAAGTAACCATCGACACAGACCATCACTAAAGCTGACACCTTCGAATATATTACTCCGTGCCACTGAATCTAATCACAATCTGACGGATTAATATCAAACCGTGTTCCCGTCTGCTGGCTAAACCCACCGGCCATTGTGTGCCCCATTACTTTAACACCTTTAATCACACAACCCTACCACCTTTGAAATACAGCCTATATTAGCTTGTGAAGAGGTCAGGTTAAGCTGGTAGTTTAAAATATTGAGTGGGTTACATCCAGGGGCAATTGTGAAGATTTATTATACCTGCGTATTGTTTGAATTGTTATTTAATTTGGGATTAGATGAGTGATGGATGTAATGACAGAGTAATGTGTTGTTATTATCAGATTTAATCAGATTCGTACGCAATCGTCTATTGTAACTGTTGATTGACCGTTATAGGAACCTATAGAGATTACCACAGAGGTAAACTATAGCAGATAATGTTTTTACTAAGATTAAGTTGCCTACTAAGACTTTGATCAGTACCTAATACCTAGCTGATGAAGAAGTGACTATTATAGAATGTTTATTAAGCGCTAACAAAGAACACGGTTTGTGTATCATGAAAATAATAGTTCCATGCGAGAATCAAACACGTTACGCTGATTGCCCACCCAGTGCGCCAACCGTGCCGACAATATTTGTATGATCTACAGATGGCCAGATGGCCATTGTAACAGGCAGCCTCATCACGCTCTCTGTACATATTAAAATGTCGTTTTTAATCAAAACTAAAGATCGATCTACCCTGCAACCAAATTATGTGACATATCACCCATGCCATTTCTTCTTTTGCATATTTTTCTACTATGCAACTAAAAAAGAAAATAAACATTTTTGGCTGTATCTACCTACTTTTATGGAATTTAAAAATATACTTTCTTAATTACCTATTAAAATCGTCATCATTGCCAGTGCCAGCCAACGAGAGCTCAAGCCTAAACTAAGAAGACTAATGAAAAGCGAAAAAAGATACATAAATACAAAAACAAGATGCAAATTTCTATCATAAAAAATGTAGTGATTAACTTTAGAGACCTTTCTAAATGAAACCTATCATCTAAAGCGTGTCCTACGACCTGGCCCAGTGACCTAGTAATGTGCACTAGAACTAGATGCTCGCTAAAAGGTGTGGAGTGCCGGCGCGTGCTCGACAGTCGATGTATCGACGTTTCAGGTCAAACGACCACTGAGAGCCAAGCGCTGGGGCTGTGTAGAGAGGCGATTATATCGATAGTAAGGACGGTAATTACCTGTTAGGTTAGATTAGTAGAGAACTTGAGATTTAAGAGTTATACACATACTTAGTTTCTTTAGTACTTTATAGGTATAGTGGCACAATTTGCTGGCAATATGCGGGTACTGTTACATACTTGCAAATCATAAAATGCGTATCAATATAAAGTAGTACTACGTACCTATCATATACTTTATTGTTCGAAGAAAAATAGATTCATAGAAATAGTAAGTCATAATTCATTATTGCTTGAACTATAATTTTCCCATTCAACAAGCCAATTTTAATTATAATGTTTTCGGCTTACTCACGTAATTGTTAGACGAGAAACTCGACTAGTTTCAAGCCATGCTAGAGGCTCATATTCAGGCCAGGCATGAGTAGCTGCGCTCCAGTCGCCGCTGCTCATGAATATTAGCCCCAAGAATGGCTTGAAACTAGTCGAGTTTCTCGTCAGAGTTAAGCCAATTTTAACATCGATAGTAACATATCGATATAGTGGTACCTCTCTACCGATCAGTGTCTAAGTGGTAGAGGGGCGCGAGGGCGGCAGTCAGCATTTTGCAAACGGGTTGAGTATCACAGGTGCTTGGCTGAGTGTGGCGCGGGGCTCGAATGTGGGACAAGCCGATAATGGGCCGAGCCACGTAAGAGACGCTTCATTGGGGTTACTGTGCCTTTTATACCAAGTTCGACCCTTGGAACAACAATAGGGAGAAAAATGTCAGGTAAACTACATGCTTAAGTGGCAAATGTCAGTAACGGAAACAACTTACATCTTAGGTAACTTTAGACGTGAAATGTCGATATCTTCAGCTGATATATGTATTTCTATCACTTTTGTTCTCTTGTTCCCGAAATTGCACGATAACATTGAACAACGACATAATGTTTTGCTTAACACGGTGATTGATATTAAGATTCCATTTAAGTGGTTTGGTTACACTTGGGACCACTAACATGAGGTAATAATAATAAAGGTTAATATAAAATGAAAACACCAAAATAATGTATTTGTGGAAAATTTATTCGTGATATTCGAAGTAGTAAAATAAAAACTCTACTATCAACACGCTACAACATCAGTGAGTCACTATGTATGTCCCTATGTGCCCGCTTCGGAATAGTTAAGGCACAAACACCTTACGATACCTCGACAATACCACTTGACAGGAATCAGCACAATTATCAACTTTAAAACATCTACACAGAGTTCAAATTCAGTTGATGCTCCTTTGATATAACAATTGACACTTATGGCACCGTGATAAAGTTTATATTCTTCCTTTAACTGTCAAGTCCAATCAAGTGATATTCGTCATAAGACTAAAGAAGTAATCGTGTCAAGTATACATGAAGAGCTTTTGTATGTGAACTTTTAGAACATTGTATTGTTTAGAAATCTGTTTTAAAAGCATATGTATAAGTAACAAGATTATTACTTAGTCTCAGTTTCTTTCATTACATTTTCAAAGCACACGCTATCTAAGTAGACGTAGTCCTCGACATCTAAAGTCCGACACTATCGCTTCTGAACATCAATAACGTGTAATCTTGAAAAACAATACATTCGCGAAAGAAGATGGTATCAGTTTAACGTCCTTTTAGATCAAGTATTCTTAACGTTATATCAGCTATTTTAAGGTTATCAAATTAAAAATGGGATTTTAGCACTTGTTTTTTATGGGATAAGGCAGCAAACGGTAGGCAATCGGTGCCGGCGATGGACACCCGCAACACTCGAGTTATAAGTACGTTGCCGGCCTTAGGGGATTTGGCTTCACACATTATTGAAGCAATAGAAGAATTTGGTCATGTACTCAGACGTCGAAGGCTCGTCCCATAATTTCCAAAACTTGTTTAACGATGATAAAGCAATGATACTAATTCATATTTTCTATTACTATTCGGAACTTTGTAAACGAGCTTACTATTGGAGATATCAAACTTATACTAAATACACAAACATATAAAATATTCAAATAAATATCATATTGTATACAAAATAAAGTACATAATTGATAATAATTATACACACCGTAACTTTTACAAGTAACATAATTCATTAAGATTTTGATTGTATTTTGATTAAAACGAATGAATGAGAATATTTTTTACTTTGTGCCAATTATGCAATAATCTCAATACCATAGAATTTAATCATTTTCTTACGTATCATTCGTTCTAATCAAAACGAAAATAAATCACGCCAAATAGAAAATTGATCAAATCAACATTAAGTAGCAAATAAACATTTTGGACGGAACAAAATAAAAAAAATGGTTGCCAATGTATTTATAGTCTTAAACTAACAATAATTCTATTCGCTTATGAGTAAGCAGTCTAAAGGAAATAAACTTCTATGTCGATATAATCAAATGTTCATTATAAAAACTATAAAGAACCTAATTATATGTCTTACACTAATTTGTATTATCGTATATTTCTCGTGTTAAAGCAATTACGACCTTATTGCGTGAACTATAATAGACTCAATTTTATTCTAATGTCGTGTGAAATATATACGAGTATATTTTGGTTTTACATTTCATTACAATTACAATATGGACCATGAATTTGATATAGTAACAAGAGAAAGAGAAAGACTTATAATAATTCGGCAAATGCGTTTAATAAAAGGCAATGCATTTTACTAAATAATCTTTTAAGGGACTATTCTAGCATAGAGATTCATGTTTAATATCAAGAAAAGGCAAGTATACAAATAGAAAATGATCCAGTCTTTGAACTAAATTGAGAGAGAGTAAGAGATTCATTGATATAAGTAGCTTGAAGCTTAAACAGTAAGCAAGTAGCCAGATGGCACTTATTGGGAGAAATACTTTAGAATTTAACATGATTACTTTAAGTGGGATAGATTCTAAAGCTGCGACTTACCATATAAATAAAGAGGGGGAATATAATCATGTAGATTGCATTTTGTGATACCTAACGTAAAATTGATAAAAGACGCCTTATTACGATAGGAAAAGGTACATTTTAGTTAATCAACAGTTATGGAATAATTTTATTCTAATTTTTAGTCATATAATGACAGTGTAATACTCGAATATTGTCCTTACAACATTATCTTGTACTAGTTTTCAGTTTAAACGTGCATTCTGATTTGCGAAACAGGATATATACTTTGATATACTCTTTTATGTCATATACGTAGCAAAATACATTTATGTAAAGGCATTTTCAAAGATATAACTATGTTTCATATGCTTTAGAATTTGATGGAAGCAATGTATTTATATTTTAATGGACTGCTGTCTGTTATGTCAGTATGTATCAAAGCCAAACAGAGAAAACCTTACAATGTCTTGATTTAGGCTATGAAACTGAAATACTTTGGAAATACAAGATTTTTTATAAGATGTTTATACAAGTCAACTCGTGTCTTGTCAATTTCTATGTGTAAAGTGTAAACATTATTTTGCATTTGAATACTAAAACAGTAAGTTGCCCACTTTCATGGCCTGAATTACCGCTTGTAAGGTCTCTGCAAGGTAGTATACTCTAGAGCTGAGCTAGTGTCTGTGTCAGTACGTGTCCTATATGAAGAACTCCCTGCGCTTGGTGACGCGCGGGCCGGTGGCGGCGGCCAGCGCGGCCGCGTCCGGGTCCGACGCTCCTTCCGCGCCACGCTCCTCCTACGATACCAATTAAATATATCATTTTAAATAAGTCACCATACATTAAGAACTATATAAGAATCGTAGTAAGCTCTCTGTAGTTATTGCTTACCCACAGCCACGTATAACAAAGTCGGTTGATGTATCTATAGTGTCTGAAAGGAGTTCAACATACCTGTGTTAGATATTCGCCCTTATGTCTGGAGAGTGCCCGCACTAGTACGATGGCGACTATGATCAGTAGCAGGAATATGAACGCCAGTACCGCTGCAAATATAAACATTACTTAGAATTTACAAAAGCAAAATGATCACATTTTTAAATTTTTTGTATATTGACATAAGGACTATTAAGTATACCAATGTTTTTCCAGTTCTTTTCTATTCAGCAAATTATCATCCGCGTGCAAATCTTAGGTGCATTTCACACATTCATAAAAGTATAATTCTAAGACTTTAATCAAGCACAAAAAGGTTATGAAAGCATTAGAATTAGAGATTTAAGTGATTTGTCAGTCGAAAATGATAATTTGGGTAAGGTGTATGACGAAATAGGGTACATACTGCCGAGGATAGCTTCGTCAGTATTATGCAAGTCCAGTTCATGTTGCAGGTCCAGGTCAGGCGGAGGTCTTGTCTCCACTGCCTCGGGTGGGTGTGTCACTGGCTCTACGCCACAGAAGTCCTCACTCAGTACTCCTCCTGGAATTATATTATTAGTCAAAACACCTGTAATGATTGAGTGACAAGAAGGGTCAGATAAAGTGATCATGGTATTATGCCAATACACAAAAATCAGTTATTGTTTTTATGGGTTAGGGCCCAAACGAGCAGACGAATCACTTGGTGGTAAGCGATCAACGCGGCCATGGCCTCTTAAATTCAATATATCTCTCCTGCTTTATAATAAAAATAACAAGAGAAAACCATAATATCCCCTTACCTCCCAAACTGCGTACATTAGGCGGTGGGTCCTGTTGGAACAGTAACTTGAGTGGGTATATATCGTCGAACTCCACTCGACTGACGCAGCCCACGAACCCTTCGTTCATGGACTCGTTCCGTCCTATGTACATGTACTGGATGTTGTTGAACTGGGCGTCTGCTGACTCCTTGATGTTAAAGTTGTATTCTTGTGTCTCGTAGTTGTCCACCTAAAGGTAAAAAACATAATACAAAATCAAAGTATTACAAGGAAAATGTCGGTCAAGTAGACAGCAACAAATTAGAATTATGGTATTTTTACCCGGTCTGTCCCTTTCAACAGACATAAAGTTCGTTTCAAAGCCAATAAAATAAGATTTAAAAAACTAAATTTTTCTATGATATATAAATGATTTTTTACGTAAATTATAAATGTAATAAACATCAATATTAATGTTTTAATTAAGTGATAAACCATCAAGATCTAGTACATACCTGTAACACCATAGTAGCTCCACTATTCTTCCTGGACAGTCGTACATCGTGATACTGTCCCAATGCAAAGTGTTTCCCCTGGAATATTATCTCCTGTCGCTCGAATCCGAAGTCAAATACCACACGGAGATGACCTGCGTATCACAAAATGGTATTGTAAATACATTGAGCCCTAAATTAAGCATGTCATGAGAGCATAAACAGTCACAGTTGCCACTAGATGCAGTTTGCTTTCAACCCGCCGATCTGAAACTCATTGGGGGAAGCCTAGATATGTTCAGTAGTAGAAGTATTGAGGTTAATTTAATGATTATGAGAAAAGTCGCGTTGTCCAAAGAGCCCTAAAAGGATATACGAAGTGTAGACACTTTATTTATTTCATGGGCGATATACATATTGGTGTTTATAAAAATTGTCACAGTAATTATTTACTTCTTACCTGAGTTAGAAACTTGTAGAGTAAGATATTCTCCGGAGATATTGGAATAGAATCCGAGTAGGAATCCCTTAGGGTTAGTGGTCGTGAAGCCGACACGGATCTTCTCCGCAATGGTAGACCGCCATGAGCCCAGGAAGTCGTACTTTATTATTGAGTTTGGCCGGAGGTTCACGCCGATTTCTAAAGAAAATTACACTTTATAATTCAAATTCTTCATGGAACATTACAGGTAAGTTTATTATTATACGAAAACTACGCTGCAGCTATGTACAGACGCCAAATTTTCTCGGTGAAGAAAAGAGTAAACATCTTGCAATAGTTTGGACTTATTTCGTGAGCGCTAGCTCACTTATAATACCCATCTATAATATCGGTATGTTATACTAGATACTGTTTACATAGCATCTGTTTCTTTTCCTTTAAAACAATGTATACTATATATACGACGACGATATTGTCTTATAAAGATTATAGTAGTATATTAGAATTAAAATTACCATCAGCACAGATAGGTCCCTTGAAGGCAGTCCAGCGACAGTCGCAGGAGTACGAGTCATATCCTTCCAGACAAGTTCCGTTGTTCAGACACGGAGACGAAGCACATTTGCCCATACAGCCTTCTGATACTCCGTATAGACCTGATACATAGAATAAAATTATTATATGAATGAATTATCACAGCATTAACATGATCAAATTAGGTAATTGGAGAAAGAAAAATTAGTATTAATGGTTCTATATTCAAAAATTACAGAGATAAAGTTTTTTTGTAACTAATTATAAAACTGGCTGGTGGGCCTGGAGCAAGCGTGGTGATTAATGTTCCATATTTTTGTATGTGAGATGCAGACTTTGTTCTGTAAGGAGACAGTATGAAACATGAGTTAGGTCGAAAGTAAGGTAAATATCGTCGTACCCCTGCGCGCGTGCTGCCGCAGGTCGACGGGGCGTCCGTTGAGCAGCAGGGCGCGCATGCAGCCGACGAACCCGCCGGAGCGGTCGAGCGCGGCGCCCAGCGCCAGCCCCGTGCTGAGCTGCAGCGCGCGCGCCGGCTCGCGCGCCGTGCGGATCTCGTTCTTCAGCGCGCCGTCCACCACCACGCGGGCCTCCTTCCTGGAATCACACACGAGTTATATATACTCCACTCCATTCCTTTACTAACAGATCATCACGTGGGAGACGCAAACTTCGACACTATGGGCCCTGGCAACCAGAGTGATACCATGGAATTAACCAGCAAAAATCAACAGTTCTGAATGAGGTACCACAGGCTCAATTCCACCCCGAAAACCAGCGTTCTCGAAAACAGACGACAATTAAAGATGAATAATATTGTACGAATATTGTACGGTTGGACGATTAATACAAAAAAAAACGCAGTTTCTACCGAGACATTAGACAAGGAAGAGCAATGAAAACATATTATGAATTTATGACACCAATCCCAAAATAACATGGGTAAGAAAAAGAAGATTGTCACCAATAGATGGCATATATAATATGCCATCTTCAACATACCTGTTCCGTTCAATACTGACAGAGTGCCAGTTGTTATCAGCCAGTCTGTTACTGGTCTCCACTGACACGCCCAGTGGAGTGTCGCCCACTTGGAACTGGAACTGTAGCTGATCTCCGCCGATAATTGACAGCTTTATGTAGTCTTGCGGACCCTGCATACCATTACAAGTTACAGATTCAGGCTCCAAATCAAAATAATAAGTTACATTGGCGAAAACACATCAAGGACATGAATATTTTAGTACATAGGTAAGCTAGTATGACATGTTTCATCTCGAGTAATAATACTATATACAAATCCCTATCATTCTTCGCCTTACCTTTGAATGTAGAAGCACAGCATTCTCCCTGGTGGTCTTGAACTCGAAGTAGATGTCGCCACTGTGGCCGAGGTCAAACATCGGCAACGTGATGATGGCATCAGATATACGGAATGTTACCGCGTTACTAAACAAATCTGAAGCAAACCAAAGCTTTTTACAAATAAGAAGAAAGAAAAGTAATTTATCCGGCATGATGCACCAAATACACAAACAGAAACTAGTAAAACGAATAAACAATAAAAAATAATAATAATAAACAACAAGGTGGCAACAAGTCCATGACAAGAGGACTTGTCAACTCAGTATGAGCAGGGCACAGAAAAATATATTTATAAAATATCCAAACTTCATTTCATTCTGATTTGTATTACTATATGACATTGAAAATTTTATATATTTATTGAATTAAAAAACAAAACTATTATCATTACATTGCTTATATTTATTTAAAATGGTAATAATTTAACAAAGAACATACCGTCTCCCTCACAGAGTAGAGGTCCGAGCGTATACCGTCCCTCCTTCTCGTCTAGATGTGACCCGGTGTCTCCGAAGCGAACCTGTTTCACTGGTAGGAACTCTTTCTCTGTAATTTCTCCGCCGTCCACTTGGAATTCTGTTTAAATTATAAGTTTAAGGTGTTAGAAGCTTTCTTTCTGTTTTATTGCGATGAACTCAAAAAACAATGACTGAATTTTATGCAGTTTTCATTTGGCGAATATTTGAGTTAACTATGACTAATATGGCGCCAGGGCCGATCCCATACAAATTGTAGGTAACATTAACGCGAAGAAAAACCTCGTATTATGCGTTTGATAATCTTAATCACTGAATATTACATCTTCTAAACAACCTAATTGTAAACAGAACGTGGAAAGTATGTATAGTCACCATCAGGCTTCCCGTGCTCTGCGTCGCAGTTGCACCACTTGGTGGGGTCGCTGCAGGAGCCCAGCAGGCCGCACTGACACATGCGCGAGCCGGGCGGCGCGCCGGCCCAGTGGTCCATGCGCTGCCCCGCGCGGGACACCCACCACGCGAACGGGTGGAACGACGACTCCTCGCCTGCGGGCACAAACGACTCTTAGATTGCTGAACACTTTAACACGTTAAACGCCATAGGGGTCACCGGTGACCAGCGTTAGCGGGGGATTTATATTCAACAGTTTTTTATTGGCAGTCCAATTAGTCTTAATCTAATATTTGTACTAGAAAATGACAATGAAATGACGGCTCAAAGCACATCGCGATTACAAAGCTTTAAATCTTTAAGTTTAGTTCTTCATCGAGGTTACTTGGGATTGGTGTTATATGTATACCATTCTCATCAGATATCAGAAACTCTAACTTCTTTATGTGTAAACGAATTACGCTTTCTTATCGGCTATGGGCGGGAATGGCGGATTCTCTTATTGCGTCATTCCACAATAAAAAATACAACTCACTTGGCGAATTGAGCAGCCGTGAATGTTTGCACATATACTCGAGATGTTGCATGCAGTTCTCGGATCTATTGAGCAGAGCCTCGAGTTGTCGTATCGAGGCGTCGTATATGATGTCCTGCCTGAAGCTGCCAGGCTCCTGGTACCCGTCCACGACTGTGTTCTGGGACGACGAGTGCTGCACTGCTGTTATTATACGACCGTCCGCTGGAAACGAATTTAGGGTTAAATTAACGGATACAAACATAGCGCATTATATCCCATAAGTAAGTTTCTTCGAGTCGAATTCTGTATAGTGATAGGTAGACTAATTCTAATTACTTGATACTTGAAAATATTCAGAACAGGGGAAAAGAAAACGTTATAGTCAGAAGGAAACATTTAAATTGTGATCCGAGATTAATATGATGCTCAACGTGCATTTAACTAACAGAAAACTTAAGTGGGACTTACGCTGAAATACTCAATCGCCACTCAATATTAAGTCGCGCTAAGTATACTTCTGTCACTACAGATTCTTTGTAAAATGACAGAGATGGCACGATATTTAAGTAGAACTTAAAATTGAGCCTTTCAGAATTCGAGCGTTAGACTACCAATAGATCATTTCCCGTCACAACATTTAAGGAAAATACCTTTGCACAGTTGGAAACTGTAAAAAAATAAGAAACTTACAGTAAAACTCGCAAGTGACGGGGAAGGCCGGCAGAGGCCCGGACCCGTCCACGTCGATGTGTATGTCGGCCGAGCGAGACACGGCCTGCACGTTCTTGTACGCCTGGCACGACAGGGGGTGGATGGCTGCCGAGTAGTAATACAATGTCATGGGTGGATATCTGTACTAAATAGTGTAGTTTATTATTTAAAAACTAACGTAAAATATATTTATTGTGTTTAAGAGGTTCACTCAAATCAACCCATTGAGAAAGCTCGACAAGTTTCGAGCGCAACTGGAACTCGTAAACGTAAGCTGTAAATGTGACTAATAACTAAGGACTTTAGGCATATTAACACGTTATGAAAATGAACAATGTCAGACAAAAATATAATTTCTTCAACCAAAAACAGTTGCATTACTTATAATTATAACCACATATTTAACTAAATAAACCATAATTATGAATATACGTACAAGTATGGCAGACGGCCCCGGCGTACCCGGTCCCCTGGCAGTTACAGGAGAACTCGTCCGCCGTCTGAGTACACACCCCGCCGTGCTCGCAGGGGTTGGGGTTGCATCTGGAATGGACAAGACACTTATACAAGCGATCTTCAACCCTATTGCAAAATTATAAAGTTGAAAATATATTTATTAAAGATAATTTTAAGTAGTTTGTATATATAGTATATTAGAGTGTACTAAAACAGAAAATATGATAGATTGTACCTGTCAATCATCTGACAAGCATCGAACACCACTTCGTTAGGACAGCAGTACTCCTCCTTCTTCCAGTCAGTAGGCAGGCGGTAGTTTCCATCGACTGCTATCTTGCGCATACACCCGATGAAACCGCGCGGAGGAGCTTTTCCACCTACACAATGTAAACAAAAAGTATTTGTATTTCCTCCTGGCAACCTGCTTAGTTCCTTAGCAACATCAACAAAAATATTATAGCGTCCTTAACAACCTTCAATAATAACCTACGAAAAAGTTAATAGTTTTTCTAGTTGATATTGATTGACGTCCCTTTAAAGTCATTTTACTGTCCATTTATAATTTTATTGTATCCTTTACATGATACAATGAAATGACACATGCGGTGAATTGACCAGATGTGAACTCACTATAAGAATTCGCAATAAAATCCAATATAGAAAACTCAAACAAAAGCCTATAAATATTATGTTTGACATTACCTGCGATATAATAAGTGCTGCCCGTCATAAATCTAAGTTTCTTCAACGTCTTGACAGGTCTATAGTCTACAGCCAGTACAAGGCTATCAGTAGCCATTGTCAAAAGCAGTGAATGCCATCGTCCATCATTGAACTCTTCTGCATAGTTATCCAGCTTCACTCGAGGAGAGCCAGGAGTTTCTAATTCTACTTTTACTCTTCCTTCTTCTATGTACACCTGGAAAAATTAGTCTTTATTAACCTCTACTGTTTCCTTGTAAAACATAGCTGATTTGAGACACTTCAGGAACAAAATGAGAATATTTCAGCAAGTGTGCCATTGATACTTCATTTTATATTAAAGGTGGCTCTCTCTAATGGAATTGACTGATTATAATGATATTCGGATCTACTTGAATAATAAAAAATGCTGCAACAGTGATGCTAGTTAAACTTTAACTTCTTTAATTCTTCAAAGCAAATCTCGAAATATTATAGAACTGTCTATTGTCACTAATAAACTGTATACTTACTTTAACGTGTCCCTCGGTGTTAAACTTGTGATAGATCAAAAGTCCATGCTGTTCATACGTTCGGAACTCCATAGATATGTTGAGAGTGTTACCGCCCGAGTAACCACGCAGCTTGGCGTACGAACCTTCCTTTAGGAACGTTATAGGGACTACTGGCGGCTCCTGTAGTACACAAAGAGGATTAAAAGATATAAAATGGTAAGATTAAAACAATATTTCTTAGTTATGAAATAAGCCGGTAAATGACACTCGCAACACCAGAGGAATTAGAAGTGCGTTGCCGGCCTTTTGGGTTGGGTCTTCAGTGACCTTACTTACGCGGCTAAACAACGCAAAGATGTAAACAAAGTAATTCAAAGTATACTTACTGGACAAGCATAAAGCGTGTTGAATTTCTGGAACTTGAATGGCTCGCCGGACTCATAGCCTAGCTTCAAATCCTGGATCACATTGGTGGCGTTCAGGTACATGTTCTCTATACAACCAGTGAAGTTCTGGTTCACAACCAAACCCTCTTGGAAGTTTGGTACACCTCCTATGTAGAACTGTAACAACAATGTATTATTAAAACTAAATTCTAAAGGACCAAAAATCCACTGTATTGTGGACTGATAAAGTATGTACTGACAGCTCTGTTAAGGTTGAGTCGCGAAAACTCTCCCTTGATCCGGTCCTGTACGATGACTCGGTCCACAGAGAAGATGACGGAGCGTCGGTTGCGGGAGACCACCACGTCGTGCCAGATGTTGTCGTCCAGTAAACTGCCCACGGATAGCGATGTTGCTGTACCAGATCCTGAGACCATGAAAGATAATTAATAGATTTTAATTAGGTGTTTTTGTCCCAAATTACGACAAGTGAGAGTGTAAACATTAATTATAACTTAAATAAGCAACAACTACCTTACGTTAATACGGTTTGAAATGAAAACGAAATCTCCTTCAAATATCCAAAAGAACTTTAGATTCTGTTAAACTCACCTAAATCAATGTTAAGCACAAGTCTATTGTCTCTGAGCTGGAGTGCCAGGTAATCTCCTTGCGTTCCTCTGGAGTACATGAGCGCGCCTGATGCTGTACTGGTCTTGAACCTGAAGCGGATCACCTCGCGAGACGCCGATATAGGATCGCGCAGTAAATCCATTTTCACCATAGAGGACCCATTGAAGTATAGGGTATCCGCAACTGTTATAAGAACATTCATTTTTTACATTTCTTAAAAGTTTGATTAAAAATTGTAATAAATGGAGATGAAGAAATGAAGAGGTAAAACTACACGGCAGACTTTAAAGGTCTATTTCCATAAGAGTTTATTTTTTTAAAGTTTACCATACAAGATTAAAATCCACGAGGATAAAATGGTATACAAAACCATATTCATAATATTATGAATACATAGATGTTCTAGTTATTAGATATTTATGAAAGGTACATAACATTTCGAAGAAAATCGACATATCGTTATTAGAGCTTACGTCAATCATAAATTAGGGCGTCCTGATTTAGAAGTACTTGTTAGCACGCAATACTAATATGCAAACCACTCGTTTTGTATACTGCAAGGAAGTTTCTGTTAAACTGTATAATATTCAGGTTAAGTGAGAAAATATGATGACTTAAAATCTAATGAATTATTAAATGTATCACACGATATGTGGAACACAAGCTGTTTATGTTAGTAACGCAGTCCTGTAAAGTTGGTCATATTGTACCACTAACACTATTTTATAACAGTTCTCAATTACTAATATTTATGGTATTCTAGTTTATTGTTTTAAGAAAGTCATAAACTTTAGTACCAACAGTCTTCACCCAATTTATAGTGCAGGACGTGACGTTAATATTTTCATATTCATAGCACTTGCACTCCAAGGCAAGCACTTAACATTATTTTCGAAATCGTAGAAGATACATAAAGTTTGCTGTTAAATTATTTTTAACTATATACGTATCAAATTCATGTGATACGTATTTTCTTTATAAGCTGAATACTTATAATATATTAGCTATTTCTCTGCTACATAATCATTGCTTGCAAGTTGTATGGCTAGATGTTCTTTATTACACCTTCGTGGGAGAAAGGCGTTAAGTTTATACATTAATGAATGTAAACCACTATCAACATATTATAATATTTCTGTATACAGTCATACGTACCATAATCGCATCCATAGACTTCGACTCTCATGGAGATCTTGTCCCGCCATCTCATCGGGTTGATCCGAATGAACTGCGCTATAATAGGCACTTCGAATTCATTTTTCTCCACAGTATTCCCGTCATGGTTACCTTCGAACATCTGTGGGAATATGAACCTTATTGACGAGCTGTTTGACACTAATTTCCTGTATGTATAAGGTAAATGGATACCACATTTGTTTGTTTAGTTACTTAACAGTTTCCAAGTATTGAGCTGTAAGCAGGGAGTTACCATTATTCCCTTGTCATTTGTTAGTTTGAAATTTCTTTTTCATAAATATCACATTATTGAATCTGACTTCGGGTCTATGCAGTACTGCATTTTCGACTTTGAAACTCTCAGTAGAAGCATACATAGCAAGGACCTTGGAAAAGTTTCAGGGTATAAGACAGAATAGTCTCGTTTCTTGCATTTTAAGGGCTTGTAAGATAACTGCGGGTTAGCTACTGCGGCGCGATTTCACCCGCTCTGTTCCTATTGGTCATACCGTGATATTTTATAGCTTATAGCCTTCCTCGATAAACGCACAACCCAACACACAAATAAATATTTAAATCGAACCAGTAGTTCCGGAGATTAACGCGTTCAAACAAACAAACTCTCAGAAAAAAGTAAATATAAGATAACTGGTGAAGTAGCCTACATCTGCCTACCCTTTGGAAAATAACAGACAAACACATCATATATTATTAATGTTACAAAATATAAAACATGATTCTTCACCAGACTATCAATTACCAGGCAAATGTAAACTGATGTTTGTGTGTCCTTTAAAGGCCCTTTGTTTTTCCATAGTTTACGTTATGAGCTCGAAGAACGTGTAAACGTTCCACACGCTACACACATTATCATCACAGACAGTGATGTGAAAATGATACGCTATTTCCACACCCTACATCATAATGTTATTGAAAACAGTGCTCCCATATTAGATGATGCAAACTGTTAGTGACTCTCCACCGTGACCTACCTTCGTGAAGCCATCGTCGGTGGTGATAGGTCGCCAGCTCTCGCCATCGTCGGAGTACTGGAGCATATACTCGGTAACGTACTCGTCGGTGGCAAAGCGGCCGCGGGTGGCAATGCCACGCATTTCTCTCCTCTTGTCCAGCTGTATGGTCAGGTGCTGGTAGTAGGAGCTCTCCCGAGCCGTCCATGCCGACGTCCCTTCACCGTTATGTTAGTTAGTGCTATTGATACTTCACAAACGTGATTGTGGATGGTAATTTAATCTTTATTTATTTAATACTTCTAACGTTGAGGTTTTGCGTCAAGAGAAAGTTTTCAATTGACAAAAGAAATAAGAACGTAAAAAATACAAATCATAAGTAAATCACAAGAGAATGGAAGACTTAAACTTTTGTTTTATTTACAGTGAACTGTGTACTAAACTTCAACAAAGTTTTGAATTAACGCATAAGCATAATTTTTTTTTTATTCAGAGAATAAATGATAGAGGACGACATAAAGCGTTAGGTACTGAACATTGAGGTTTCACATAAATGCAATGGCTTTGTTCAGCCACATAATGGTTGCATTCAATGAGAGCATATTCACAATGGTCCTTGAATCGAATGGAGATGGGCAGCATTACCACAATCAGGCTTGTAATTAGACGTGAAAAGATTGTTAAAATTGTTATGAATGTATAGAAAATTAGAGGAATCGATATTATTTTCAGTGTTATATATACAAATGTGTTGAAACCTAATAGTTATTCTATGCAGGTCAGCTATTTTATAAAGGGTAAATGTTTAGGGTAAGCAGCCTTTTGTACAGCATTGAATGAACAGAAACAATAGGTTCAACTTCATGGTGCGTGATTTAATGAATGAGAACTTTTGTAAGCGACTATATAAATGTCCACTTAACACCGTTAATATCAATAAAGTATGGACAATTGGACACCCAGCTGTGTCATAAGACCAGACTCAAATCGGGTTCACTGCCTTTTTTGACTTCGATCTTTATTTAAGGGGTCCCTCACGAGATATCATTCAGTAAATCACACACCATGGGAAGTATTTTACTGTGCTTTATTTCTATTGTTTGCAGTTAAAAGAAATTAACCTCGCTCCAATATAATGTAATTTAACGCCATCTAACGTCTATCTATATCAATGAGCTCCTCTTTTAACTAAACCTACTTTGAACTGCCATTAAAATAAAGCCCAAATTCCTCATAACTCATAAAAAGAAAACTACAAACAAAATAGCAACTAAACACTACCTTCTACCAAATAATAAAGAAATGGCGCTACAAAACACTGCAAGAAAACCAAAACAAATAAAAAGCCTCATGCAAGCAACCTCTCAACCTGTTAGTCATATTTCAAGTATTTCATTTATTGCTTTACCTTGACTTCGCCTCCGGCCGCCTTATACTGAACGTAATCGAGGCCATTGGAGCCATAGCTGATATGGTACTCCTGAACAAACTCCTGGGAGTGAGCGCGGCCCTGCGTAGCCACCCGCGTGATGTTCTTTACGCTACCCAGGTCAATGACCAGCTGCTGGTCGAAGTCATTCTCCGACGCCGTCCAAGCATTCAAACCTTTTCAGTGTGGGAAAATTTGCTAATTTATATCACAAGGTAGCTTGTGCCATTAGTAGATACTGTTAGTTGGAGAAATGATACTTTAATGTTATTTAAATAATTGTTTATTTGCCTTTGCCATTTATTGAATGTCTAACACTAAGTAATATAATCCTAAACCGATATAACATCTATATAATCCAAAGCAACCCAAATTTTTTAAATATAACACATAGCCAATTGTTAACATTACAACTATAAGAAAATATATAGGATATTTTTACTATAAATTCGAGATTTCTCATATTTTCTTAATCTAAAAATTTTTCATTTGCTTCTCAACAAAGTCAGAACTAAACTGCAAGTCCGGTTCATGCAGGGGTTTTGCTCCCTCCACAATTTCATCAAAGGTGAGATAAGTATAAGGTGTCTGTACATAGTTCCCATCTTCAACCTTTAAAGACACAGCTACAGCATGTTTATCATCCAGTAATGTTTCTTCAAACAGCCACCCCTGTTTCACAACATTCTTCACATGCAAGACCGTATCAGTTACTAGCTTCCCCACTTCCAACTTGCGTGTTTTTATAGAGAAACTTATTTCGTCCAAGGGTACAGTTATACCAAACCCTATATTCTTCACATAACTTTCTTTGAGGCACCAAATGCGATAGAAACACGCGATCTGTTCCATTTCCGTGGGAAAACTGCGTATCGTAGACCATTCGTGTGACGAAAACTGACGCGTCATAATACGAAAGAATTCTGGAATGTTCTTATTAGCAGGAGGTTCTATTTTCATGACATCAATACCAATATTTCTATCATTATTGCCAGCCAGAACCACAAAGTCTCCTTGGTGAGACACATTGAATGTAATCGGTACATCTCCAGACTCCACAAGATAAGGTTTGCCTTTGTCATCCCTGCTGAAGTGTATTTGATCATAAGGAATATTAGTTGTGTCATAAACAAATTTTCTCAGCATCAAGCGACCAACCAGTGATGATTTTGCATCATTTTGGAACACAAATCTAGCAATTCTTTGCTTCTCCTCTTGCTGTATGTAACTTGATGCAGCTGTTATCTCCTCCTGGGTAGGTGTCCACTCTGTGGCATTGAATGCCCATCTGACATTAGCATTGGCCATTTTGGTTGTAAAGTCTCTATTTAGTATTGTTACTGAGGTCCAACTATATAGACTTTTATACTGATAACGGACCTGCAGATGAATTAATGAACCCTGTTACTTTCAGTATCCTTTTTAGATATTTCTGATTTTTTTAACATTTCACAGGTTAAGAAGCATAAACTATAACTTTGGCAACTGAATCACAAACACAACACACAACATGCAAAAATAATGGCATGATTTCATCCCCAAATGAAAATAAAAAAGATGTAAATGTTGCCAATTTAGCTGGCTCATGTCCTACGGCATTCACTAGCATACCTTGGTGAGTGATTCATAACATTTCCGACAACATACATCGATGTACTGGCATCTTCAGTCATCAAATGTTATGAAACACTACCAGTGCAGCAAAGGCAAAAATGATACTTGTGATAATATATATTTTCTATCCATAATTTAACTCAATGATGTATGCTAACATTACCTGATAATGAAACCAAAATATTACATTCACATATTTTACTTACAAACATTATTTTAGTTGTTATAGTTACAAATAATAATAAGCAGATAACCTGAGATACCCTATTTCATTTATCAGCTTATTGTTGCATATCATCATGTTTACAACATCTACTGCAAGCCTATCCTCAGTGTCAATGGAATACTTGAATAGCAGTATTTTATTTTATTCTATAAATTATAAGTACATACTCTGGCCTATGTGTAAGAATTGTGACTTAGAATTGATCCAACATAGAGGCCAAAAGTTAATGGTGCATCACACATTGCATACTCACCATACAACTTAGCATTCTCAGGACCCCTGTCTCTTAGGCTCGATGTAGCAGTCAATTTAGAGTTCGCAACAAGAGGCTGATTACATTCGTAATCGTAATAGTATCTTATCGAGTCTGAAAACAAAACCATTAAATTAAAACACATGTATCGTGTCATGAAATTACGAAAATAGTAACTGGGACAGCGTTTTCAGGGTTGACTAAACTAAATTATTCACGAAGTAAACAAGACTGATAGAAAAGTGAAATTTTTAATTTTCGAAGAATAAGTACATTTAAATAATATTTTACCCGCAACTATTTGAAGCGAAAATAAATATCGTTAATTTCATTACAAGTAGACGTTACATGTTTGAATAAGAAAGGAAAAACAGCAAAGACAAATAATCGTTACACTAACCTGCATCAGATTTCGTAATGCTATAGCAAAGCAACACAAAGAAATAATACACGACACCACTCATCATAATTTCATAGCTATTTAATTTATGCTTCTAATAAGAACGTAATGTAACAGTCAGAAAATCATATAATAAAAAACTGTTTGATCATTACGCTAGCGTTGTTACAATCATCAAGCCGGACAACACCCAAGTTAAGTATGTTTAGTAAAACCTTTACGTCAGATTATATAAAATAGAGCGATTTTCATTGGCTTAAAACCAGAGAAGAGACTTCTCTGACCAATCGCGTAATGTAAAATTGACAGTTGTAACGTGTTTAACCTCTGGCCCATGCCCAATCAAACAACATTGAAAATTGCGTTCCGAAGTACCTGCTATGAATGAAGGGTAAAAATCAGTAGTTAGTTAGTAGTTTTATTATACTTACTAGGCCTTATTACCCGAATGCAGGAAGGCTATCTATTTTGATAAGAATGTTTAGTCCAGTTTAGTTCGAAAAAGTTCAAATGGTTCATAGTTTGATTTGGTTAACCAATAAAGTACTCAGCTTTCGAACGCACCTCACCTGTATAAAAATATTGTCAGATAAAATAATACTTCCCATAAAAATACTATCTCGACAAGTGGAGCTTTGGAGCATATAAGTACTTTCTAAGTGACTGTTGAACTATTTTTTTGTACATACTTTTTAAAATAATAAATAAGAAAATTTGTAACGACATAGTTTTGACACAGTTTTTAAATAACTTTGCTGTAATGTTTCAATAAGTAATAAGTGAGTAAAGTAACTTTATAATTGTGGTAACACTGATCATTTCTGCCGAAAATAGGGAAACTTGTGTTGATCGAGATCGATAGATTTTCGGTATTCTAGCGATATTTTACGTATTTTTTGTAAAGAAATTGTACTAACACTACATAATTAATTTGGTTTGATAATAATTACATGGCTATAAGTCGGAAGTGAATTTCCTTTTGCTATATTAGTTGGTGAAATCCCGTTACACATATTTTGTTTCTGCCACGTTTTGTGGAAATAGTTTTTTAGTTTTAGTGTGAAAATGTTTCTTTTTGTTTAATAACCCCAGTTTATATCAGGTAAATATTCAACTATGCTGCGTAACTTGTTCATGAATATTAAAACAATGAATCATCTGCATCAATGACATCAGACGACATGTTCTTATTGGACATTGGGATAGGCTTTCGCCTATTGGAAAAAAAAGCTTATTTATATGTCGATAACGTTAGTTTGAAAATAGTCGCATTGATACGGATAAATCCAAAGGTGTTACTACCTAAATAAATAGTTGAGGTATAAGATAGATAATTCAATATAGGTATAAATTGCTTCCTACTCATTGTTTTTTTTTTAATAAAGTTGATTGAATATGAAAATAATAATATGAATACCTAGTACATTTGCTATTTTAGACTACAGCAATTAGGCTTTTACTTTAATTGAGCTGTGATGTTTAGACTAACATTGCATGAGGAGATGTATGCAAAAATGTATGTAATCCTCACTTGTTTATTGTTCCAGAAACCACAATGTCGAGCATGTCAGATCGCAAAGCGGAGCTAGAACGCAAGAAGGCGAAGCTCCAGGCTCTCCGTGAAGAAAAGGATCGCCGCCGCAGGGAGAAGGAACAGAAAGATGCTGAAGAAGCTTTGGTATTTTAATGCATAATTATATTATCAGCATTTGTTACCTTTGAAACTATAAGGGTATACATATTTATGTCAAATAATTCATCCCAATAACCATCAATAGTAAATCTATTAGATTTACATTCTGAATACTGTCAATGTCATATTAAATTAGTTTTCATTAAAGAAAAATAAAAAATGTGTTACCTTCTACCATCTTTTTACAAAATCAGAGAAAAATTCGTTCACTGGTCATTAAAAGTCTTCATTCCCTCATTGTTTAGTCTTCATATTCCAGCAACGTGCCTCCGCCACCTCCAGCCTGGACAGTCGGCGCGATCTGGATGAGATGCTGTCTTCCCTTGGAGTAGCACCTGTAAAGGATGTGCTCTCATCCTTGTCTTCCATGACATCACTGACACCGCCACAGACTGCATCACCGGATGCCAGTCTGCCACACACTGATAAGTCCAGTTTGCCTGCTCATGGGTAAGAGGATTAATCCCTAATACTTGAATATTTAACAGCATTCTGATAAGAAGATAACGAAACTATTTAGATTGTCCATTCACATTCTTTTTCTTTTTCAGTCTTTCTGACTGGATTTAGGTGTTGCATTGTTCTCACATAATCGAACCAATAAAACTATGTTACTAGAGAATTGTATTGTAAACCTGATTGAAAAAGAGTAACCTATGGAGTTTCTTGCTCGTTCTTCTCCATAGGAATCTACGCCTTGGAATGAGCAACTAGCTTCACTTATAAATTTTTGTTGTTTGACGTTCAAAAGTGCCATCCTGGTCTAATTGAAATAAATGATTTTGACTTTGACTTTGACACATTTTTTGTTGATCTTCCAACTAAGTGAAATTGATTTCTAAAGCTAAAGCTCGAATTAGTCAATTTCCATTAATCCATTTTAACTCATTGAGTACCGTAATTATAGACACAATTAAAGAACAATAGGTTGTGGTCACCGGTGACCGCTCGGTGTTTGACAGTTTAATAAGGAAAGTACCAACCATTCATAAATCCAGAGGCAATGCAATATTACTTCTAGTTGCACCCAGTTAACCATGACATGCATGTATATAATCAACTTTAATAACCAGTGGGCCGAAGAAAGCTCCTACCTTGCAAGTGGTGTCAGTCCAGTCCACAGACATTCCACCAAAGGAGAATGTGACATATGCCAAGCAGACGCAGACCACTGCATCTGGTGTCAGCGAACTGCGCGATGGTAAGCTTTGTGCCAACTTTGTAGCTAACATTATTGCTAGTACTTTTGTTTTTATACTTTTTGAGTTGACTTCCATTGATTTCCCTTTTGTTTTGTTAGTACTGAAATAAGATCTAATACAAATGAGTACAAGTATGTGTATGTTTATTTATGAAACTACTTAAAAGAGTTCATTTCTCTTTTATTAATATGGAACTTATTATATTTTTATGGATATAAAGTAACCCTTTATTCTGATTAGTGATTGCAGTTTGATATAATGTGCTACAACTCCTTTTAAATATTTACAAGTCAGTTTCTTTGAAGAAATTCCCTTATATTAATTTTCAAGATAAAATACTGGGTTATGGATCATTTCTGTGTGTACTGACATTAATATCTATGTGTTACCTATAACAATTTGAAAGTTTGCATACATATAAAGAAATAATACATTAAGGTATTAACTGTGATGTCTGGGTGTTGGTTTAACTTAATTTTGACATTTGCAAATAATAAATATCTTCTAACTATTAGTAACTTAGAACACATAGTAGGTGGCCTTTTAGTATTTCAATAAAAACATTAATTTAGTATTTTATAGATCTATCATTTGTATTTAAACCTCCATGGTCACTAGAAATCTTAATTTGGTACATAGCTCATAGTTGTATATCTATCTCTGTCTTGCACATAAATTAAACAACTGTGCAACAAAGACAGAAAGATGTTAGAAAAACGTTTGTAATGTATTTGCAAATGCCAAGAGCCCCTGTAACCAATGACATCTTTGTAGTGTTTACAACAGTATTTACTTTTCACTCATCTCTCTTTTTAATTTGGCCTTTGATATGCTGTCTGAATTTATTTTATTTGTTTTAGTTTAATACTTTTGGAGCTCTTTCCATGGATATTTTTATGTTGTGACTTTGTGGGTTGTTATTGAGAAGTAGACCTTATCAAACAATTACAATACTTTGTTTAATAGATTTTCTACATTATCATTGAACGATAAAGTCGATAATCTATTTAAAATTTTTATTAATTTAAAGTGCTAGTCTAGATTACTTCAAATTAGCCTGTATCATGAGGATGATAGTATTCTCAGTAATAAAAGCTATTGTCTAACTATTACAGACAGACTATTTTATTTTAATTCATATATGAAACATGCCTTGCTAATTCAATCATTAAAAAAAATCATTTAGGTTGGTCTTGCTTTTACCAAACATTGTAGCATATTAAGTTCTCAATCAAATAAATTGAGGCAGCATTAATTTGCGAAATTTTTGTTTATTTTCTCAGCTTAATGTGTCGTCTACCATTAGTGTAACCGATTCTATATTAATTATTAATGATATAAAAGTAAATACTGTATGAGAATTGTGGTGCCATGTTTGTGTTTGTGCTACCATAAAAAAAGGCTGCTCTTCCAATGCATCACCGCTTGCAGGATACATGGAGGACTGGTGGCGGCCGCGCAAAGGTAACTTATACCTTATTAACGTTACTCATAGTATATATTTGTTCGTCCACGAATATGTACGGTTATTGTCTTGAGTAGTTTTTGTTCGTAGCAAACATCACATCGTAATTGGCGATCGAAATTGAAAGCGAAACATGTGCATGGTAAATTCAATCATAAGTGGATGGCACTAAGTATCAGTTTTATCAAAATTGTAGCCCACATAAAGTAGATGTAGCTCACTTGTTTTTTAATGTCATATTCGTGGACAGTAATCTTGTGACTTAAACATAATGCATGCACAAATATTCGTTTACATGAAATGGAACAAAACATTCATTTAAACGCATTCAATTTTATAAATATTATGTTATGGGAAAACAGTGTGGTGCCCCTAGAATCTACTGACACTTGACAGTGAAAAAAGTATAAATTTGAAATGGATTGAATGGCATTAAACTTAAATGATAAGTTTTGTTCCATTTTGAGTTGTAACTAATATAAAATTATTGTCATTTTGAAAGCGTAGCCAGACGAGTAAAGCTCTTACGGGCTAACATAGAGTTAATAATGAAATAGCAATACCCATTAAAAGGGTTTTGTGTAAGTTTGTGCGAGCATGTAGTGTTGTTTGGTGCCGTCGAGCTAACGTCACAGTGTGTGCACATTACTAAACACTGACCGATGATGTTACTGACGCTAGTGTCGCTGGTCCACACGATCAGAGTGCAATGGCCGTGGGCTCGATCAAATCAAACATATTGGATGTTATAACATTTCCTTACTAGATACGCATTGCGCACCGTCCAGTCATTACTTATTCATCCAGCCCACGACCATATAAGACTTGCATGTGCCCATTACAAACATAATGGACTAATATCAATTCATTGTGAATACCATCCATATCATTTGTCCAATCATTTACATTTTATGTAAATATGAATAATATAATTACAAAACAAAAATATTCAATGTTCATAAATCTATAGCCAATATTGTATAGATATATATTATTCACTGAACTTGTAACTGACAGAATATTTTTATTTTTTGTCCTTTTCTAGCACACGCAACCGACTACTACGGTAAGTCATTATTCCGCCAGGACGCTTTCTGTCTACCCCTAACACTACTTCTCTCTGATCATGTCGGTTAACACGGTGTCGGTTGTATATTAGTCCTCATCTCGGTCTAGAGTTGTATATATTTAGTCTAGGTTACCTTACTATCACGCTTCTAGTTATTTCCTACTAACAAATAGGTGCGGTACTCAGATTACTTGATAAATATAGAACGATACAGAAGCACATCTAGACCATTGAATCCATTTCATTTTATCAAGAAATCTGTAACGTCTAGAGTTAGCGGGGGGGTCTGAGTGACACTACTCAACTAAAACATCATCATTTGATGCACGTTTAAGAGTTTACACGGAATTGTGGCCTTCCAGAGTTCTCCACTAGATCTCTTCACAGGAGATCTATATTAAGGGCCGCAACATAAGTTTATACAAAATATAATATGTGTATATGAATTATGGTGGTATTATGGGGTCGCCGTATCATCTCACGCTGTTTTCCCCTTCGAGTCGACTAACATACACTGCACAGGTCCTAACACACGGACGCGTGGTGCGCCGCCGCACGGACCGCCCAGTGCTCGGTCGCTCGGCAGTGTGGCGACGCACCACGATACGGTCATGCTGTAAAATATATAAGCACCAGCTATTTCTATGTATAGTTTGAATTTTTTATATATATATTATGGTCGAAAGATACTGACATTGTTTTTTTGTTTTTTCCTCCCTTTTCAAGATGAGTACAATCTAAACCCGGGTTTAGAGTGGGAGGACGAATTCACAGGTAGGTTTCAATTCCGAATCATACAAACAATCATTTAACTAAATATTGCCCTTCGTAGAGCCTGTGCCTATCACCTAGCATGGTTTGTTGTCAATCTATTATGTAACGCTATTTATGATAAAGCTAACAAAACATAACTTAGCATTATATTTTATATGTGTCTGTATGTGTGTTTTAATACAGGATCATTCATATCTAATCTAGTTGACAGTCAGTCGGTAACTTGTGAGCAGCTTTTTCTTACATATGTACTTGCAATACGTAATATATAAATATAAAAAAAAAACTAGCGTGTTACAAGATCACACCAAAAATACTATACAACCGTACTTGCTGACAGTCAGCTGTATATAACCCACAGTATACCTGTATTACATGACATACATTCAAAATTCTTCATTATATAAATATACATTGAATCCATGATGCATGTGACAGAAATACATGTTGTGTATAAGTATGCATGACTGATGACGTCATCCATATGTTTTGCAATAGACAATAGTATTATTTTATTTATATTTTTATTATGATGGAACATGTACCTCTCTTGTGGAGAGCTCGGGAAGTTATTTTGCATTTTATTTAATATTCCAAAGCTTTCTGTCACCAAATGTTAACGCTTTTAGAGATTTGTGTGTTTTAGTTGCACAGTTTTAGAGGAAATAAGTAGACTATGTCGTCCATTGAAACATTTTGGTTTACTATCATTATGTAGTAGGTATGGTGTGTTTCATTGTGTAGCGTACACTTTCAGTTTCTTTTCAAAATGACTTCGTTATTATTATGGAATGTTTGCTTACATTTCTATTGATAGTTTTATTTTATCCTGCATTGCTTTAGTGGTGATAATTAAGTGTTAATGCTGTTTGCTTTTTATTAGATTTGACGTGACGGGTTCGACTCCCACATACACTATTACACAAGTCTCCTAGGCGAAATTACTAGACTGAAAATATTTTGAAATTACTTTATTTTGAAGAAACTGAAAGCCATTTGGAGAATATAGTTACAGTAATGCTTTTTTCTGTTCTACGCTGCAAATAGAAGGTATTTTTCAAACGTGGTATGAGACACGTGCCCCTTATGTGTGTGCATGTCATGGGTATAATGTAGACATATCTTTAAACGAAATTTCGAACATGTACAAGATAAAATGGTGCTGATTCCTTTATAGGACAACTGAACTTAGTATTATCTAGTTTTTGAAAATGAGCACCATTATTTTGTTTAGCAGTATGCATCATAGATATGTTTGGAATATTTTGTCAAATTAAATAGACTTTTTACTCTTATCCATGTGACGTCCAGATTCAGATCATTCCTATAAATCGCCCAATTTTCATAGCTTGTCTTAAAATTAATTCCTTTCTATTTTAAACACTAATTTCATAGAATGTTGCTGTAACTGTAGTCTCATACCATTGCTTTAAGGTTCAAAATCGAATGGCTAGTTTGTGAGCATACAAACAGTTTTAACAAACTGGTCTAATGATCAATTTAACATGTAGTAATGATGCTTCACTAGCTAATATTCATAGACAGATTAAAATATATCATTGACTTACAAGATTGTTCGTCTAAGTAATAATAAGTGCTTTAAGTATGAATAGGAAATAAAATAAATTAATAATTGGTCTCAAATATACATCTTTATTCTGTTTAATAAGAAAAAGAATGAGATTTCTATTCATACTTTGCAATCGTATTCATGTTCTTACAGTGCCACAAATGAAAGCAGCTTTTAATTTAATTTAAATTTGTCTTAACCTTACTGACTGCGTTAATTAATACAATTCAATTAATGAGTGCTACTCACAAGCGACGTAAGCAATACGAACTTTGGAAGGGTTCTATGATGTTCCGTGTACAAAATTCCAAAATGGCTGCCTTCATTTTTGGTATTGAATGAAGTAAGACATTCATCCACACTCAGTAGTTAGGGATAGTTACACCAGTAGAGCAGTAGTTATCTTTCTTCATTACTCATTACCTACTTGGTTCATGAAGTTATAATAAAAGAAAACTAATTGTTTCTGACAAATATGTCCCTTAAGTGATTGGTAAATAATATTATAGAACACATGCTAAAGTAACTTCATGAAATCAATATCTAATAATACAAACGTACTACTGATTTATAAAACAACACCCTCACCAGGGTAATTGATAATAAAGCCTGTGATAGTATGGCTCAAGTTCTTCAACATTTCTAGAACATTCTAAGTTATAAGACACAAAATAAGTCAGTGGTACCGGCACGTACACACACCCCCCCGGCAAGGGCCATTCTTATTCACCGTCCAGTGCTTACATTCGACGGCGACGGCGCTCGGCAAGGCGATGAGGAGGAAGCGGCGTTCCATGGCAAGCTCCCGCCCGGCATACTGCCGCACGGCCTGCCCACCGTCAAGGAGGTCCAGCCCGCCGTCACTGTCGAGCCACAGGAGAAGAAGGATGAGGAGAAAGAGAAGAAAGGTTTGTCCTCTATATTCTTACTTTTATTGTTGCTACAGGAGTTATTTTGGTCGTTGAAATCTGCTGTTGACTACTTTGGAAATCAAAAAATTATTTTCGAGTTTGATAATAATTATAGCCATGTCATGGCAGGGCAAACAGTTCGTTTCAAGTTTAAAATACTTATAAAAGCTATTTTTCTAGTTCGCGAGCTGAGCGCGGATGAGAAGCAGACGATCATGCTGTCGGCGGAGTTCCAGCGGTTCATGTCGAAGGCCGGCCGAGTCATCGAGCGCGCCCTGGCGGAGTCCGTCGACATCTACACCGACTACACCGGCGGCGGTGATAGCGAGAATGCTCTGTAAGTAGACACTATGAGGTCGAAAGTCATTTGTCGAAAAAGAAGATTCTTGAGACAGACACAAGCTTTCACATTTAAATTCGTAGTGTAAGCCACATATTACCATTCTTATTACTTCTTTAACTTCTATCATATCCTTATTCATAAATATCGAATATACTATCTACACTAGTAGTATGAACAAATTGCCAGTGTGGTGGATGCATTTTTCCATTATAGCTACCTAAATTGTAATTATTTTTATAGGTATGACGATGGGTATGCTAACGTAGTATCGGTAACGTAGTTTTGCAAATACAAAACACAAACATAATACATTTTGATTGGCTATAACTCAAAGTGTCTTCTGTCTTCCTATGCTTAATGAATGTTCTTTATTAATACTATATTTATAACTCTGTGAACTGAGAGAGACTATAGTAAGTAATTGCAATGGCTTAGCGCAGTAAACACTACTATCCTAAAACCCTCGAATTCTGATTATTCTGAACAAACATTAACTTGAATTTTGGTGAATACAAAACCTACTAACATGAATTTCGTTTAAATTACTCTAAAGTTTTTATATGTTATTCAAATTTTAACCTTACAGTTATTTATATAAGGTTGAAAACCGAATAGCTAAATATTTTTGGCTTGTTATATTTTGATTATTATACAGATAGCATAACAAACTATATCTCGTATCCCAGGGACGACAAGTCAGTAGCGCGGCTGTCATTGGTCCGCACGTTCTGGGACGAGCGCTGGTCGCGCGGGCGCTGCGTGACGTGCGCCGACTGGTCCGCCGCGCACCCCGAGCTACTGCTGGCATCCTACCACAACTCCGACGACGCTCCACACGATCCAGACGGGGTCTGCCTCGTCTGGAACACCAAGTTCAAGAAGTCTACCCCTGAAGATATCTTCCACTGCCAGTCGCCAGTCATGAGCGCTACTTTTGCTAGGTAATTTTTTTATGGCATAAGCTGGTAAACGAGCAGACGGATCACCTGATGGTAAGCAATCGGCGTCGCCCATGGAAATCTGGACCACCAGAGGTGTTACAAGTGCGTTACCGAGGGGATTAGGAGTTTGAGGATCGTTGGGGATTCAGGGATTGGGGAGATTGGGGAAGGGGAGGGTAATTGGGCCTCCGGTAACCTCACTCACACGATGAAACATAACGCAAGCGTTGCTTCACGTCGGTTTTCTGTAAAGCCGCACGTGCCGTATCACTCCGGTTGAGCCGGCCCATTCGTGCCGAAGCATGGCTCTTTCACACTTATGAATTTAAATTTTAAGGTAATTATGAACTTCACACCTTTTTTCGATGGGCGGCATTCAAAAGGTTGGATTTTAAGTCATTAAAACGATACCTATAAAAGGCATTGGATCCTTTGAATAGACCAAAATATATTCTATTTTTTAGCAGCATGTTTAATCTCTTGTGTATTTTGTTAATTATCACTCCAATAATTTGTAATTCCAGGTTCCACCCGAACTTGATCCTGGGCGGCACGTACTCTGGCCAGATAGTTCTGTGGGACAACCGTGTACAGAAGCGTACACCCATACAACGCACGCCACTGTCTTCACTCGCACACACTGTATGTACACTTCATTTTATAAATACTGAAATACAACAGCTTCAATAAAACATGACCATGTATAATGACAGAATCTTTGCACATTCTTCTCAATAGATATCTACACTTAGTAACTAATTGGCTTCTCTGAAGGATATGCATTACAGAGCTTCCTTTGAAATTTCCAGCACCCAGTATACTGTCTATCAGTAGTAGGCAGCCAGAACGCCCACAACCTGATCTCGGTGTCGACGGACGGCCGCATGTGCTCGTGGTCGCTGGACATGTTGTCCCAGCCGCAGGAGACGCTCGACCTGCAACACCGACAGAGCAAGGCCGTCGCTGTCACTTCCATGGGATTCCCACATGGGGATGTGAACAACTTCGTGCTGGGCAGCGAGGATGGAAACATTTATACTGGTCAGTAAATCATAGCCTATTTTTTTAAGATTGTTTGCCTAAAATGTGATGAATTTTGAAGTCGTATAGCAAAGTTACTGCTTATGATGTTAGTTATATGATCCTGAGAGGTTGTTAATGTTGAAATAACCTTGTTGAAAATCTTATTAGCTTAACGTTCATTATTAGCTAAATAACCACTTGTTATCGAAATCCTAGTGAAGGGTATCTTTAGACGACAGAAATTCTGCCTCGGATATAGATTACAAAAGATTACGAAATTAATCCATGTTATGTGAGCAGGATGCTTATACGGTCAACGTGCGGGAGTGACGGAGATGGTAGAGGGTCACGCCGGCCCCATCACGGGCGTCTCGTGTCACGCCGCGGCCGGCTCAGTCGACCTCTCACATCTGTACCTCACGTGCTCTATGGACTGGAGCGTCAAACTATGGACCCAGAAGGTACTTACATTCAACTTTAAATAATGTTTTTACATTTATTTCGAGAGTCCTGGATTAGTTTCAAGCCACAGCGGAGCCTATATCATCAGCCGATTACGCAATTGTGACAATCATCATTCTTTATACAAAAAATAGATGTTAGTACATTTTATTTAATCTTTACTATAAGTCATTATTTATTTTTTGAACGACCTAAACATTAGCTTTTTGTGTCTAAATAATGTCTAATCTGTTCATCTTTACGTTACACAGGAGAACAAGGCGCTGTACTCGTTCGAGGACAGCGGTGACTACGTGGTGGACGTGCGCTGGTCGCCCACCCACCCCGCGCTATTCGCGGCAGCTGATGCTTCCGGACGCATCGACCTATGGAACCTAAATAGGGATACAGAGGTACATCTCATACTTTATGATTACTCCTTTTAGCGTTAATTTAGCGCTGAAAATACCATTACCGCAAGTATATTGTATTGCCTTTTGTGTTTTGTGACTTGAGAACTGACTAACTCCTCCTGAGGGTTTATTAATTATCATTTTCTAAAATATTTCTTTAGGTGCCAGTAGCATCGATCCAGGCCGAAGGCGGAGTAGCATTCAACCGCGTGTCATGGACTCCGTCTGGTACTCATATCACCGCGGGAGACGACGCCGGCAAGATATGGGTCTATGAAGTCGCTGAGGTAAACATAAAATTTTATCATAGTCTGTTTATACTTTTGTAAGGAAAATTAACCTTATTTGACGCCGGTTTTCTGTGAGGCCGTGGTATTACTCCGGTTTACCAGGCCCATTCGTGTAGAAGCATAGCTCTTCCTCCTTTTTCAAAATCGATATGCGATTTCAAATCTGAAACTTATTCTATTTCAAACTCCCATAGCACGTCGCCCAACCTCGTCACGATGAATGGACGAAGTTCGTATACACCCTACAAGAGTTACGTAATAACCAAGCGGATGAGGAGACAGACCGACTGAGTCTAGCAGCCAGTGGCCCGTCGTCGCTGACCAGCCTCACCAGCATGGCCAGTAACCCACTGAGGTAACTGCTGACCAACCAACGAAGGCCACAGTTGCCCTTGTGAGTCTATACTTTGGATATGCTAGTGTGATGTTGAAGAGAAAGACTGTTGAAAAGAAGTGAGGTGCGTATGTGTATAATATAATATATTATAGATATGTCTACATAAACTACGCAAAGAAGAGTGATGAATCCATTACTACCAATCTAAGAATATTGTCTTCAAATTGGTAGTAACTGGAAACTGTATGTGTCTTAATGGTGTAGGAATATGGCTGAATTTTGTATGGCTTATATAATAACTGTGTAAGGAGTTAAACTATGATTGAACAGGATGGATAGAATCAATATTACATTATCATATTCAAAGTTTGTTCAGAACTGAGATGTCAAGTTGCAGGAGATGCATATGCAAGATAAATGTTTAGTTGCAATATACAAATATATTATGTATATGTGTAATATATTATGCACTTATTGCAATGTTATATAAATGTTAGACATTGTTGGTACCTACTTAGAACTTTGCTTAAATTATTAATGTAAAATAAATATATGGAGACAAAGAATATTTTTTCAATAACGTGCTAACTGGCAGTAACACGCAAATATCGCTCGGTTTTGAAAATAGTAAGCAAAGTCATGGCACAACGCAAGTTGCTTTGCTAAAGGAGCGAAAATATTAAAAACACATATATTGAATGTTGTAACTAAACATAACTATAATTATTTCAACTACATCTCTCTCTTCTAATATATAGATAGAAAGGACAATTAAATATAATTTTAATGTTGAATGATATGTATATTAGGGATGATAAGCAGCTGATAATATCCTTATTTATTAGTACCTATTGTTACAATGACACAAAATAAATATGAAATTAGTAATTATTTTAAATTCCATTTTAGTCAAGTAAGTTACTGAACAAAAATGTTATGTACTTACTATTCTAATAATAATTATGTACTAAAATAGACAAAAAACATTTTATTTTGTGACATAGTAACTATACATTTGTAGGAATAAATCCCCAGTTGTATGCTAAAGACAATGTTAATGTAACAGTTACAATCTAAGTTAGTTGTTTGTGTTATGCAAAACTTAGTTGTCTACATAATTATATTCATATCGCTAATATTTATTAAGTACAGGTACCAATTCATAGTATTACTCAAACTAAACAGATATTGCTTTATTGTAAAAGTTAAATCAAATAAAATATTGCTTATTGAAAATTATAATTGACTTACTTATTTATCAACTTAATGAAATTTATTTAAAAAATCTTTGATAATATACTAATTTGCTCATTACTAGAGCAGGTTCTTACCAATCCACTTTTAAAAACTTCGTTAAAGGGTATACAAATGAAATTGCAAACAGAAATAATAAAACATTCAGTCAGTTCAATAAATATTATTTTACTTTGGACTAAATGGTATAACAAGTTTTCCTTTAGACAAGTTGACTTCTTCCCAACAGGAACATGTGAGGGTCTTCCTGTCCATGATGTCAGTGTATATCTTGCCATCCAGGTGATCCATCTCATGCTGGGCTATTCGCGCTGACCAGTCTTTGTACACTTGTGACTTTTCTACTCCTTCTGCATTCAAACCTGCAGATAAACATTATAATTTGATTACTTATACAATTTCTAAATCTGTAATCCTCTATTTTGTTAAAGATTTTCATGTAACTACTAGTATCATATCAAAACAGTTAAAGGGATGGGAATAAAAGAGACTGCTGAATTCTGATCAAGACTAGAATAATGCATAGACTACTTGTTATCCCACAGAAGCGCAGGTAAAGTTGCTGGTACAATCTAGTATCAATATAGTTATTATTGTATTACTTTACCTGTAACTTGTACTGCCTTGTATCGAGGCACATCAGCTAAATACCCTTGTACACTTTCACATCCTTCACTGTGTATAATCTTTGTATAGTCAACCACCTTCAGTTTAGGGTTGATGTAAACCTGGAATATTGTTGTGGATTTTATTAACTAGTTGAGTACCACCATTATAGACACAATTAAAGAACAATAGGTTGCGGTCACCAGTGACCACTAAGTAATTGATAGTTTAATGGTCTATAGGTATACCAGATGTCTAATAATAATTTTAAGTAAAGGTTGATACTCTAACATGTTATAATCACAATTTTAGTTTATGTAGCTGCATTTATAAAGGGAGAAACTTGTACTAGGTTTAAAGATTACTTACTTACAGTGAATGGTACCTCCTCCATACCCCTAAGCCTAGCTAGTTCTCCCGGAACACTAGCAATTTGCTTCACAGTATGTCGCATAGCAAATATTCTTAGATTTACCCCAATTTGAGGCGCCGACATACCAAGACTGCCGTACTTACTAATTACATACTCTAATTTCTTTATTATATTTTGTATTTCAGTTGTTTTTATTTTATCAATAGAAACAGGCTCTGAAATTTTACGTAATGTTGGGTCGCCGATTTGCACTACATGATCGTAAGGAGGAATTGTTTTGCCATGTGCTGGAGATAATCTGGCGTACCAGTTAAGAACTTTTCTTGTTACACCCATCTGATTCAGTCTTCTTGCCGTATTTATTTATATTTCTTGTAAGTTTAGGAAATTGATTTTATAGGTTATAATTCAAATCCCAATCTAATCAGCTGGGTGCAGTTTTGTCACTGTCAAAAGTGCTAATCGTTTTCCCACATTCGTTGCGTTCATTTTATTCATGCAACAAGGTCACATAAAAAAGAAAAACTAAGGTACGACACGATCGTGATGCAAGAAAACTACTTTAGTAAAAAAATCGAATTATTATCATGCTAAGAGTACTTTACACTACCAAATGTCTCGATAATCTGATTTATAATACGGATAAATTCTTTACACTTTCGTGTAACAGAAAGTATTTAGACGTCATTATTCATCGATGACATTGACAACAACAAGCTGAAGCTGACATTAATACGTATTTTTTGTCGTCATACCGGACGATCAACTACGACCGGTTTTTGGGTAGATTTATTTACTTAAATATTCTATCTTCAGTGTTCATTATCATTTCATACAAAGCAGCATATTGATCACTCTATAACTACTTCACCCGAGTAATGGTAAACGAATAAATGAGTTATTATTATCACTAGATAAGAGACGTGATTTTGGCAAGTTAAACATAAAGATAACGCTGTTTTCGTAGGTTCAAAGTAAGTAATTATGCAATTTATGTTATCTGTGACGTGATTATGTTCCATGTGCCGTATATATTTGTATAATTAAAGGTAAATTATAATAATTACAATAATGTTCATTCAATGGTCGTCAAACTGTTGAATTTTGATATTCTAAAGTCCCAAGTTGTGGTGGAAGGTTAAATTACATTTATCGTAACATCAAAACGTGATAATTGTTTCATACAATAAATTCGGTTCTAATTGAAATAACCCTTCTTGTTGTACAAACCTGTAAGATTGCTATTGGAAATTCTTGTTTGGTATTGGTGTATCACTTGTAACAGTGTTCATTGGACTTTATTTCTCATTTTGAAATATACAAACAAAACCTTCTGCCAAAAATAAAGGATACATTTACATTATTTTATTTATACATAATGTAATATAAATATTGGTTTATGTGGTGATGGAATTCACTGGTAAATGGCCATTTTGTGAAAAGAAATAATATATAGTTTTATTAAATCCGAAATTTTAGGTATTTGTAATGTATACCTTATCCACAGATGTTCAAGCTCAGTGTCAACCTCACCCGCTCGGCGTCACACTACATAAAGCGCACAATGTCTAGTCAGGAACAAGATGTGCTGTTTGAAACCCTAAACAATGCAGGAATCATCACTTTGAATAGGCCAAAAGCTTTGAATTCCCTCAACACATCCATGGTAACAAAGTTATTACCACAGCTGCAAGAATGGGAAAGTAAGAAGACACTGGTGATTGTAAAAGGGGCTGGTGATAAAGCATTCTGCGCTGGTGGAGATGTCAAAGCAGCCATTGACAAAGTAGAAGGTCCAAGGTTCTTCTACACAGAGTACAATTGCAACTACCTCATTGGTAAATACAAGATCCCATACATAGCTATCATTAATGGTATCACTATGGGAGGTGGTCTCGGTCTGTCTGTCCATGGAAGGTATAGGATAGCTACTGAGAAGACAGTTATCGCCATGCCTGAGACCAAGATTGGACTGTTCCCTGATGTCGGAGGGTCGTACTTCCTGCCCAGGCTGCAGGTCAACTTGGGTTTATATTTGGGACTCACTGGTAAGATATAAACATATTTATAAATTTTTTTAGTGTACACAAAAAGACTAGTCATTGTTACTATACACTGTAATTAACTTCATTGTAACTAGACATAACTATAGCAGTAATATACGACAAATTAGTTTTAATTGGAGCAATTATTTGCAACAGCATGCAAGTTATAAACACACTTTTGTTGTGCTGTTATAATTTCCGTTATTTATTTTATCTATGTACAATGTTGTTACGTGTGTTATTTACGTTATTGCACACATATTTTACATAATACATTAATATTATGTCTAAACCTTATATTTAATGTGTTTAACAACAACTTTTCATATAAAATCTTCATCTTACAGGTGATAGACTAAAGGGTTGGGATGTAGTTAAATCAGGTATAGCCACACACTATGTCCCAAGTAAGAGACTGTATGAACTAGAAGTGTTACTCTCCCGGTGTACCGATGAAGTGGAAGTTGACAACCTGCTGAACAAATTCCATGAGCCATCTGAACAGTTCTCATTATCTGATAATATCAAACATATCAACTACTGCTTTGCTGCTTCGACTATTGAAGAGATCATTGAAAGGCTCCAGAAAGTCCAGAATGATTGGTCTGAGAAGACTTTGAAGGTGAGTTTAATGTAATATCAACCTTAAAGATATTGTAAAAGGGGCTACTTGTCATTGCAGTTATGAGAGGTCAGAAAGTAAACTTTAGTGTTGATGAAAATTGAAATTGAATGTAATTTTCAGTTCAAGCACTGTTTTCTACAACTAAGCAGGTAATTCCGATTTGCCTGGTTACAATGTTGATTTCAATTTGTTGTTATCATTCAAAGTATGTATGACAGTTTAAAGATATAATTAGTCAGATAAAAACTATAACATTATAATTATTACTTTATTACATTGTATTTAAATTAAATATGTTTGATAGTATGACTTGATAAGTTTCAAATCTTAGTTTTCATAATGATGACAGCAGACAAAGCAAATTTGATTATTCATTTGTCGCTGCATTGATTCTCGAAGGCATGTGCGTTAGGGTTGACAAGCCGCCCGTGTGTATTATTATTTTGAGTCTGATTTATTGAAAACGTATCCATTCCTCGAGCGAAAAGCACCTAATCATGCAACTCTTAAAATAAATCTATTAATAAAATAGCTATCAATATAAGTTCATTTATTTCTATACTTATACTATTTGTTGTTTCAGACCCTCAGCCAGATGTGCCCTGGTTCCCTAAAGATCACGCTGCGTGCACTACAGCGCGGCGCTCAGCTGGAGCTCGGCCAGTGTCTCAAGATGGAGTACCGCGTCGCATGCCGCGCCACTGAGAACCACGACTTCCCTGAAGGTAAGACTCCTTAAAATCAATGTTTCTGTTGCTAAGAACTGAGTCTTAATTTAGTTATGTTTGTACTACTACATGTCATGTATTCACTACTCTAATTGCGGCGTACATCAAGTTGGTCTATTCTGAACTCTGTAAGTTGTACAATTTCGAAATAAAAAACACTAATTTTCCAGTACTTTGGTGATCTAACATGCATGGAGTGGAGATTCATGTTTCCTTGTTAGACGATGCTTAGAGACTCATCTAAATACATATTATGCTTCGTCGTCAGAACTTAACTCATTCAACATTCTCAGTTTACTAAATAATCTAAGCTTAATAAATGGGTATCCATGTTTCTCATCATCGTCCCTGGTTGCAGGAGTCCGCGCCCTCCTCATAGACAAGGACAACAACCCTCAATGGAAGCCCAAGACCCTCGCTGAAGTGACCGACGACTACGTCGAAAGCTACTTCAAGAAGCTGCCTCAAGACAGAGAGCTACAGTTCTTCGACTCCAAGCTGTAAGATCATCCTTTTTACGTAAGCAGTAAGGTTCAGATTCGAAATAAGTGTTGCCGCGATTGCTTCAGGGTGTAAGCGAATTTATAATATTTTTAGTGGCTACTGATATGTGATCAGTTGATCATTTTTTTTAATATTTTTTTTTATAACAAAATCAAGTATTGAACATAATCATATAGACACAATCACAGGACGTATTTCCCCTATTGTTGAAAGAATCTTGCATCCAAAATATGTATTCAAAAACTTCATTCCTTTTGACCTTGAAATAATATCGACACGGAATGAATAAATTCACGATTCAATTTGTATTTAGTATGTATTTGTAAGCGATGTTTTTTGAGAATTTTTATTATTCATACACATGTCAGTAGCCATATTTGACTGATAAGTAATATGGTGCAAGTTGTAACGCAGTTCATAGCCATTTAGTGTTAGATACCTGGTTTATTTGTAAGTGTTCCACTTAAGAGTTCCTTCGAGTAATGCCCTTTTTCAGCAACCTACCTTAAATTGTAACTAAGCTAAGATAGGAGACACCTTATCACATTTTAGTTTTCACTAACCTATAAGTGATAAATGGCACCCAACAATACAAGTGAGGGTAAGTTTAAGTACGCCACGCTAAGTAACTCTTAGTGAATGGTTTAGGGGTTGTTGGTGAAAACGGCTTACTTTACTGTAGTTTTCCATACAGTTTTTGTTTACATTTTTAGCTAGCCTAGGGCTCGAACCTGTTTACGATACTCATTTATCGGTCTCTTAGTGGAAAGATATTTCGTACAATGAGCTCAAACCACAATAATCAACAATTTTATTATTGTAAAGCCAATTTTGGTGTCTAAGTGCAATTAAAAATATTTTTAACACAAGTGCCCAGTACTTTTTATATTATGTAGGTTCGATTGGTTTATAAATCTTGTTAAAATATAAAATATCTACATAATATTCTATATACATTTCTTTTAGTAAGTCATCTAGTGCAATTAAAAACATGGTTGAGGCAACTGGATATTTAGTTAACTCGTAAAATATGATGTTATGCGAAAATGTGCCTTGTTTTATATACATTTAATGTAGTTGTTTCAATGTTGGCATTATAGTGTGATTTATATTAGTTCTAAGTTCTCATAAACTTTGTCTTGAGCTTTTGTAAAATGAAAAAAGAAATGGACCTAATTCTAAGACAATGTATGCATTTATTTCGATTTATTTACAAATTTTATAAAAAAAGTTAACCTATGTAGGTAACCCACTTTATTTGGATGTATATTTTGTATAAAAATGTATATTAAATGTGTTTGTTGTCTGTTAAAGTTAATCAAATAAAGAGCAAATTATGTACTTTGTAGAATTTTCTTTTATTCATATACCTATTTGACATTTTATTATAACAGGTGTATTTTATTATTTACTTGTTCAATTTCCTAGTAATGTTGTAGAACCGCATCTGCGAAGTTACCTTCAGCGTCTCGTACATTTTCCAAAATACCGGGTTAAACATAGTTCCATAAGTGAAAACACAAAATCATTTAATTTGCTTAAAAACAAGTTACTGTACCTATATAATTTCAAAAATGTGATTAATTTACTATAGTGCCCAAATTATTGTCTGTTTAATACAACACGGAAAATACTGAATACGACGACTTCACGATCTGCAAAAAAAGTACTATTTATCCACCTGATTATTGAAATATAAAGCAATATTATTGTCTTTTAACTAAACTTACAGACACGTAGGACTGGTAGGACAGCGCTATGATACCCAGCCCAGTTAGAGCCACTGCTTTCTGGAAAATTGCGAATATTATTAAATTAGTACAGAACACAGGCACAATTGTTTAAAATTCTGGTCAAAGTCCCAGTACCCGTAATCAATAAGTCGTCGTTGTTCAGATTTTTTATTAAGTTAAAAATTGTGTTTAACCAGTCGTGTGTCTAAACGTGGATCCACGCGAGACACAATGTATTTTCTATTGTGTCTCATATAAAGGCATTCAAGCGGTTAAATATGTTTTGTAGTTTTACTATGAATTACTTTTAACGCCATCCCCAAGAGTAATAATACGTGTTACAATATTTTTGCACCTGTGCCTGTGACATGGAGATGACGACCAGCTTCCTGACACGCACTGAGGACTCGTGGTAGCAGTTCTCCCAGCCAGAGCTGAACATGGCCACCGGGACTCCTTCAGCCTGGTCAATAATGAGGTGGAAATACACTAAACATTAGAATTTAAACGGAAAAGACTTGACCGTTTGTATTCTATGACAGTTTAAACTGTAGAGATGTGCTTAGGTATAGTGCCTCCCTCAGACATGTCTTACCTCGACCGTGATATCACCAGCGTTCCACATGAAGAAGCCAGTGCTGAACAGGATTGTCAGCGCTGTCAGTCCCAACGTCAATACATTAGAAAAAGTACGGGGCGAATTCTGAAATAGTGGTATCATGGTGGAGTGGTTCTGGTTAGCAACACTGGCAGTGAGTTATTTAGAAGATTCTTTCGTGTTGTTTTTATCGTTATTTTATAATTAGGGCTACGGCTACGTCAGCCCCATTATAAAATACAAAATTCAGTACATACTACAATGAAGTAGCTAAACCGTTATTAGTTCGTGTTGTAACTTATAATATGTAAGTACCTATGTAAATTAACTGACAGCCTTAACTTATAACCGTATCTACTTAAGAATAACAATGACGAGATCATAACATTTTGTTCAGCCCACGTATCCAATCCTATGTTTACTTTGTGACGCAACAAAAGCGTATGAGGTCGTTTAGGTGGTACCTACCTAGTTTGAAAAATAGGTACCTACATAAAATTTATCTATTTACTTAAAATGTATGAGATCTGTCCGATAGCGAAAACCTGCTTACCATCATTTGATACATTAGCACGATAAGTAGCGTTAGATTGAATATAATTTGACCGCTAAACACTTCTCGGCATATTGTTTGAATTTCATCCGTGCACCTGAGGTATAAAAATAAACGTAAGTAAGAAAATACTTAATAGACATTTCATGTAGGTCTCACACTCTCGCACTTAAAGGTTCTGCCTAAATCTTAGCAAAATCTGTTAGTGGGAAAGCTTAAGACTACTGTACCTATTTATCTGCTACACTATGAGAACTACTTATAAAAATATTGGAATTATCACTTACTTCAACGTCTCCGAATGCATGCTGATGCCAACTTTGAAAGCTTTCTCATATTCCTGCTCCTTCTCCGTTTGCGACACATTGTCATTTTCGAAAATCTTACTGAGGCTATAGAAATAGCTCTTGAGGTTCTTAAACTGATGGCTGACGGCTATAGTCAAGCAGATGACTAGGGAGTACACTGAGAAAATACGCGTCAGGTAGATCCACCAAGTAACGTAGATTACTGTCCTCCCGATGTTGCTAAGCACAGACCTGTCGTGGACATCAGGCCACGCTGTTATGACGGTGTTAAATGTATCCCCTGCAAAGGACATTACGCACTTATCTATCCTTTAAAGTTACCTACCTATTCCAAATTCCACCTGGGTCTTCTTAATGCTAACCCCAAAAATCCACTAACCTGTTCGTATAACTCTTAGAACGCCCTCGATCGTGTACATGATGACAGACATCACGCAATTGAATATCAGTGCCCAAGAGAAGAACTTGGACCTTGTGATCATCTTCTGTTCAGCCTCACAGTCATTGTGCACGGCCTTCAACGCAATGCCTAACTTGTACATAACGTTTCTTATCTGGTCTCTTTGGTGACAAATACGAATTCGGAATCCATTGATAATAGTGTGAGAAATGAGGAACAGCATGAGATCAGACTTCTGGAGCTCAGACAAGTTGTTCTGTGTATAAATGGATCCGTACTCAAATATATTCATAATGATAACTGACCAGTTTCCGTAAATACTCAGTACGTTTAAAACCTTCATAAAAATGACAGGAAAGTCCAAGTTGTCTACCCAGCAGTTTGGTAAGCCGAATACGAAAATGAACTTATTGAGGTTAATTAGGAATTCCGTCGTTTTTGTTTGCTTATATGACCCAGAAAAGTTCTCCATTGTCGGAAAATATTGTCTTTTTACGCAGGTCAGATAGAAAGGCTTGTCTGTTCGTTTGCGAATTAATAAATACTCCTATTATATAGTTACATCAGTAGAAACTAACTATACCACTGCAGAGACGTATCATGAAAAAGATGTATTGATTTGATACCAATTCATATTCATTGAAAGCAATAGAAGCTATTCTAAAAATAATGAGCCTACCTACTAGTAACAAAGTATGTGTAGGTACATAGGCGTGTATATATTTTAAATACCTAGGTATGTAACATTTAATATACAAAATTATAATACTTAGTACCCAAAAAATTATTAAAAACCTCTTTCATAGGTATATTTATGAGTGAACATATACCTTCGTTATGCTATGAATAATATTTAATGACATGAGTATTTTTTTAAGTATTTTCTCGTGATTAGTCTGTAAACACGCTTTTCATAGTCATCATCACCAACAGCCTATAAATGCCTACTGTCAGCAGTAGTCTTCTCGCACGGAGAAGGTTTGAGCATTAATCACCACGCTTGCTCAATAATGCGGGTTGGTAATTTCAAACTTATAACTACTTAGAGATTTCGAACCCTCATGCATTAGAAGGGGGCGTCTTAAACCTCTAGACCACGAGGACATTACTTAAACACGCTTTTGCCCAATGGAAGTTAAAGTTAGTTAAGTAGAATTTTTAAATTAAAGCTCTATAAAGTTTAGTGAATACGTCTCTGCAATTCGTAATGAAACTCATTGGAAATCAATTAATTCTATTAATTGGTCAGATCATGGTCGGTATTAATTGGACCGTAATAGCAGTATTACCTGGCTCATTTTGTTATACATTTTACATACGAAAAGGGGTTGAAATAACAGAAAATAATGTGAAATGCCAATCTGCAAACAATTATTCTTAATGAGTTGATTGCTTTTAATTTCTAGTTTGATTAAGGAGACATCGATTTGAAATACAAGCATATGCTGATGTTAGGTACCTATTTAATTTATAAATCTAGTTCGTCTCGAGACAGCATTAGTAATACCTAATACAGGACGAACCAACGAACTGTATAGCACCTATATGTATAAATCAAACAGTTGAATTGTCATTTGAAGATGTATAGGCTGTATGGACCTACCATTTACTTAACTGCACAGACGAACGTACAAAATACACTATAAGTTTTGCGGTTGATTCGAAACACTAGGCTTTAGTACAATTTTAAGTATTACCAGTCCAGTATATAGGTCTCCTGCTACTCCTTTACTCAAGAGAGAGGCTAGACCAGCGTGAATTTACTCGCTACAGCTCTTCACATAACCCTTCCTAATAAATCAAGGAAATGACTGGTGAATTAATGACCTTATAATAGTTTGCAGAACTTTATTGCATCTTTAATTAACGGGATTACAATGCAATATAGTGCATAATACCTAGGTAACATGTATGTAAAAGCAATATGCAAGTAGTGAAGGACAAAAATTATATAAATACATTTTAAAACTAATAAATATTAAAGAACCTACAGTTTTTATTTCATTTAAAATAACACTGAAAACACGGAGTATGACGACTTCACAATCTGAAATCAAAATAATAAATAAGATTTTTTTATATGTTTTAAGAAGAAATTCCAGGTAAAGTGTTACTAAACTACTTACTCTAATATATGATTGGTACGAAAGATCTATGTATCCCAGGCCTTTGAGGACAACAGGACGCTATGAACAAAATTAATTACTCATTAGGTACTTATCTACTTTTAGTGTTGAGACTTAATGTCTTATCACTAAAAGTAGAGACGCACTGCACGCGCGCAGCTCGCAAACGGGTCGCGAGCTGCACATTCGCCAGTAGAGGACGTACTCTATAACAGTACCTAAAGAAATACCAGTTACGTAGCTTACAAAATATAACTAACAATGAAAATTAAAGGATAATTAATATCGATCAAGCATTTAGTCGTTAATACCTGTGCTTCTGACATGGTGATAACCACAAGCTTTCGAATACGCACTGAAGACAGTCCTTGACAATGATACCAGCCGGAGAAATATATAGCTGTTCCCAAATGTGAAGCCTGCAATATTACATTATCAGTATCATTAACGTATGATGTTCACCGCTCAATAAATTACGGCCTTGCCCTAAAACTTACCTCTACAGTGACATCTCCAGCATTCCACATGTAGAAACCAGTGCTAATGAGCACAGCGCACGCAGTAAACCCCGCTGAGCCTAAGTTCACAAGAGTGCGTTCTGAATTCTATGGGAAAAATATTAAATTAACCATAAACCACAAGGGGCGTGTGATCTTCTAAAGTGATAACCATTATCAAGTTTGCTCAACAGTAACATCAGTTACTGAAAACTTTAACAATACATTACATTTTCTACATACATACCGCCATTTGCGCCATGAGCACTACTAGGAGTAAGATATTGAAGACGATTTGTCCGCTGAATACACCGCGGCAGACAGACTGAGTTAGCTGTGTACATCTGGAAACACATTGTGAGCTCAACGAACTTAATTCTTCATTTTAATAAGTTACACCATAAATAAGCATGAATCTAGTGACTTAATCGTTTAAATGCGGTATTTTTAAACGGTTTTATTTAGGTTACCCCGTTGTGATGAGCCGGTAAATGAGCAAATTAATCACCTGATGGTAAGCAATCGACGTCGCCCAGAACACTAGAGGCGTTACAGGTGTGTTACCGGCCTTTTGGGGATTAGAAATTTGAGGATTTTTCGGGATTCAGAGATTGAGGAAATTGGAGAGGGATAGTTGGGGTCTCCATTTACTTAAAAATATCATTTCAAATCACATTTCAGTCGGAATTTCTGTTCATACTTAAATAGTATGCACATCTAATCATTTTATGTAAATCGTACACCTATTAGATCCCCCCTTAAAAAAAAAAAAAAAAAAAAAAAAAAAAAAAACACCTATTAGATATAATATCTAGGGAGCTGGGAGTTAGAGATGTAACAAACGTTTACCTTAACGTATCCGCATGAAGCTTTATCCCAACTTTAAAGCCAGCCTCGTACTGTTCTTCCTTCTCTATCTGACTGAGATCATTTCTCTCGAATATATCATTGAGACTAATGAAATAACTCTGCAGATTTTTGTACTGGTAACTGAGACAGGTGGTCAGGGAGATGACCAGGATGTACACTGCGAAAATTCTGGTCAGGAAGATCCACCAGATGATAAAACAGATGGCCCTCACCACGTTAGCCATGTCAGAGGCGTCCTCGACTCTAGGATACGCAGTGATAATAGTCGTAAAAGTCTTACCTACAAAAAATAATGAACATCGGCCTTCAAATATAAAAAATATAAACCGATAAATTATACCTTCGGATGATTCTTAATTTTACTAATGATTGTTATTATTTTCATTAATTGACTTCTATAATTAATGTTAACTTATATTTTAACTAATTCATTTTTTATATCATTTAAGCGATTAATTACCATGTCTTATAACTTCCCCGAAACCTTCGGCAGCATACATGAGCATCGACATCAAACAGCTTAGCAATAAAGCGGACAAATACATGATGGTGCACGCAATCATCTGCTTCTCTACTTCAGGGTCATTGTGCACTCTCTTCAGGCCTACGTTGAGGCTGTACATCACCAGTTTCACTCTGTCCTTGATACTGGTCATCATCACGCGGAACATGAATAGCATTGGGTGAGATATGGCGTAAATAAGCCGGTTGGACTGATGCGTCTCCGTCAACTGAGTCTGCGTGAAATACGAACATAACTCAAAAATAATCAGCAAAAATATTAAGGTGTTATTAAATATAGAAAACTTGTCGTAGAATTTGACAAATCTTTTAGATAACTTTAGATCTTCTATCCAAAAGTTTGGCAGGCCAAATAAGTAGACTATGAAGTTGATTTTATAGAAGAAGTTTGTGGTTTTACTTCGGGTATAAGAAGTGGTGGTGGTCTCCATCTTTCAAGAATTATGTATAGACTAACTAGTAAATTCTCAGATCAAATAGTCAATTACTTAATTCCAACAATTAAGGCAATTTCGTAACGACTACCAATCACAGCGAAACCCTTTCTGAAAGGGTTGTCGCAATTAATCAGAATACTGTATGTATTTTCGTAAATATCGAACGTAGGAGCATTGAAAACATACATGAATAAATTTTGTTAGCTTTAATAATTTAAGTAAAATAGTATATATATGCCTAAGCCACATCATGCATGCTTAAACTTAGATGAAATATTACCTACAACCCTATGTACTTATGACAGTTTACGTCAGCAGTTTACCTATTGGAAACACATAATAAAGGTTGTCAATATTAAATTCTTCTTTTCTGCAAGTACAGCCCTATAGAAACAATTACAGTTAGACCAGTAACTGGTAGATTTTCTTAATATTAAGCCGTTATTAGTGAAAACTGCGTAATAGAGCAATTTCCATACATTTTATAGAGGTTAGTTAATTATGTCGTTACCTACAAAATCCGCCATACAGTTAGCTATACCCAGCTACCTACCAAATACAGTTAGCTACACAAACGTAGAAATATATTTTTTAGTAATTTTATTTATTTATCTGATTAACAACATAAATGTAGATAAATATACACTTAAGATATTATTTAAAACACTTGAGTTCGTTGAGTTTCAGAAAGCATTGATTGTTTAGATAAATTAATTAAATCGGTTTGGAAATTTTCAGTATCTTAAGCGACACAGCATAGTTCAGTAAATTATTGCATTATAGACCAATAACAATACAACTGGAAAGTGGATGAACTCAAAATTTCACCAACCTTTGCCTACCTTCAAACAAAGGCTCAGTTCTCAACATAAACGCTTGACGTCATTTGGACTATTTACCATTATATCTTAAAGGTACATTGTTTACGAGTTTTCTAGAAAAATAAAACAAACAGTTAATTAGCTCAGTAAACAGTTATTACCAATGTTGAACAACGTCATATAATTGAGTGCCTGATGGCGCTTCCCATGGAAAATAGAATAATAAATAAAGTTGTAAACATTAACTAAACGGTTCCTGCATTTATTTTAATAAGCAGTTATAAAGACTAAAGTCCTAGGAAGCTATTAAGGCTTATTGAATGCTATGTAAATCGTGTTTCTTTTTATATATTTTTTTTGTTGACTTTGTATAAATGTAACGAAATATTAGGGCGTTAAATGTAAGTTCGTTTAATTTCATGTAGGTATGTATGTACGACTGTAACGATCAAGTAACAAGCTTATTTAAGGTAACCTAAACTGTTAAGTAAAGACTAAACAGTCAACCCCAAATGTAATATGGTTTGTGTCATTTTGGTTTCTAATTAATCCCATCTGAAAAATATTAGTAGCAAAAAATTTTTAGTAAAACTATACAGCATTAATAATATTAAACGATAATTGTAACAACAGTCTTGCAAACAAACGATTAAGTAATCAATAATTCATAGTATAAAAGTATCGAGTTTCTTTCTTCTAACCGAGTGTTCTTTGCTTTTGAAACATAATTAGACAACATTGTTCACTGGAAAGAAAACTTCAGCCAATTTAACAAAAATGAATTTCTTCAGAAACCCAGAAGTACCAACGGAGCTATATAAGGAAACAGACACAACGAGAATGATAGACAAGTACAACAAGTTCTGGTTCCTATGCTGCTGTCCAGATTTCTGGGTCAAGAAGGTGGATTATCCCGACTCCTTTACCAGGGTCTACCGGCCTTCGATGCTGGTTAACCATATAGTCATGGTAATATTCTGTTCCTCATGTTTCCTCTCGCTCTGGACCCAGCATGATCTCTCCCAAAGCCAGAAATCCGACAGACTGGCGTACGCAGCATCTACTCCCATCATTACTGTCCTATACCATTTCGTGATCCTATATTATACAGAGGATGTTAAACAGGTCCTCTACAAACTCGCTGTCGTTCTCAAAGTCGATCATAATGATAAGAACGCCGAAGATGAAATGATAAAACAATCTAAGTTGCATAATGGAATATTTTTCTCGTCTTGTGTCTGCAATATGGTGCTCGTTGGACTGTATAACTTTTATAGAGCTGTTACCACAGGTGTGTATGTTTTAAAATGTATAAAACAAGTTATTTTATTCAATTTTACCCGAGTTGCATTCTGCTACGCTTACTTCGCATTCGTAGCAAAAGTGCTACGTTTCTGTAGCACTCGTAGCAGGATACTACGCTTGCGTAGCACCAGTTGATCCCTCTACGCTTTTCGTAGTGGTTAATTTTATGTACTTCAAAGGGCAAAGGGATACTTTCAACATGAACATAAGTATTACTTTTTGTGGTGTACAATTTTGACTTGTATATATTGTAATGTTTTTTCTGTTTCTGATAACCAGATGCGACATTTATAACATGCATATCAGCGTGGCCGGATATAGAAGACCGGTCTACTCTAGCAGGTTTGACGAGGGTGGTGGTCTATTTTCTCTGGTTCTCCCACGTGACTCGCAATATGGGTGTCTTCCTCATCACACACACGGCGTTGCTATTACTCAGCCAACAGTACAAGAACCTGCAAAGCTATTTCGAAGATCTGAACAAAATATTCCTTGAAAAAGAATTAAGTCAAGAGGAACAGGAATTGAAATTTGAAGTTAGGTTTAAAAAGGGAATCGAGCAACATGCGCTTACATTGTGGTGCGAGGATTTTGTTGATCTATATCTTGCAACTTTTTTATTTGCCACATTTTCTTTAAGCCATTTAAATATACCTACTTATGTTTGCAGGTGTGTGGATGAGACCCAACGCATCTTTCAAATAACATTCAGTTCCCACGTACTGCTCTGGTGTGGCCTGCTCATCTCCATCCTTCCTGATGTGTTGGTGAGTCTAAGTAGTAGTGGATTAACCATATGCGATGCTCGTAGGTCCGTAAGGTCCGTCATTTACTGTCTTGCTCAATAAAAAAGGGTTCGGGCAAGTCTTTGGGCTTAAAATTGCTACTCTAGCTTTGGTACGTGGTTGATTCAGCACCGAGTCCAAACATTGTGTCCATAACTGTACCTACCATACGATCAAGGTCATTAAAGACACTGATTAATGTCATTCTTGGAACAAATAACTTGATTGACTGATTGGCTGTGATTCAATATAATGTTGAAGACATTCGTGTAATTTATTACCCGACAACGGTAAAGGAAAGAAGGGTTGTAATTTCTAAATTAAAATCAAGCCTGACTGAAAGATTTTTATTATTTTAACTCGTTATGTAAGGTAGGTAGACACTGATTAAACTATTATGTTTTCGGCTTACACGCGTAATAATTTGACGAGGAACTTGACTAGTTTCACTGCCGCGACAGACGCCGCGTCGCGGGTCACGAAATGCCGCTCATGAATATGAGCGTCTAGCATGGCTTGAAACTAGTCGAGTTCTTCGTCAAATTATTACGTGAGTAAGCCGAAAACATAATCATTTATTTAGTATGTCTCACGAAAGTTACAATACTGATTACACTATTAAAGAAACTGAAGATCACACTAGTTGTTATTCATAAACAGTAAATTAGTTTAATAATCGTAGTGCCATCCTTTAACAAATGAAAATCATTTAAAAAACACAAATTATTTTCAGAATAACGACACACACTCACCGACGATGCTGGTTTCGAATGCGCCGAGGGTTTGTGCCGCACTCGTGGGACTCGGGTACTTCATGTGGCCAGCAGGAGACATCACTGTCGAGGTGCCGGAGTGTCAAAAAATTATAACGAGTTACTTTAATTAATTTTTATCCTAAAACAGACTCAAAGTCAAAGTCAAAATCATTTATTTCAGTTAGACCAGGAAGGCACTTTTGAACGACAACAACAAAAAAAATTAGAAGTGAAGCTAGTTGCTCATTCCAACTTGACTGTCTCATCTGATATTTCACGCCCTTTTTATCAACAGATATTTTACGTAATTTGAAGTATGTATTTCAGGCTTCAAACGTGCCTCACGCTATGTACGGGTCGGGCTGGCAGTGCTGCCACGACAGGTCTCCTCGAATCAGGAAGCTGGTGGTCTTGGCGATGATGCAGGCACAGGTTACAAACACTTTAAATCCTTTATTAATACAAAAGGATGATTTTTGTCGTTGACTTATTTAACAGTGTATCATGATATTTTGAATTATAAGTGAATACTTTTAATTTCGTATTTCAGCGGTCGATTGAACTAAAGGCCTTTGGACATTTGACATTCTCGTATGAAACCTACGTAGCGGTGAGCACCCTACACATTATAGACGTTGTATTTACTATCTTTCTTCTGTTGTCCTTTAAACTTTGTTCTTTTTTTTCAGATTGTCAAAATGTCCTATTCTCTGTTTTCTGTACTGTACTAATTGTGTCCGTATCGATGTCTCAAACGGCACATAAATTAATTAATGATAGAATTTTATTATACTTTTTGTAGTTTTTTTTTTAATATTTTTTATTAATAATAAATTGTATTTCTCCACGGACTTGTGTCCGTTCCCTTGTCATATTATAGTTACATTGTTTTCCTGGTCAAATAATTATTTTAACCACTAATATCACTACACAAAGTACTTGATGTTGTTACCAAATTATTACAATCTTATTATGTTACACTAACCCTACTGGATCAGCCCACCAGCACGATGAGCGAGCCGACCTGCTCCAGCAGAAGGCACCCATTCACGGGTATGACATGTTGGCCAGCATCGGTCCGATCAACCATTTCGTAGGGAACGGAACGACCCAGCACACAGCGCCACAGACTGTAGAACATTTACGAATACATGAGGTCCACGCGGCAGTAACCCAATTTCAGTAGTGCTTGTGGATTTTATTAGTCTTATTAATAAACTCACGTAACTTTACATTTTGTAGTTAAAACAAATTGCATTTTTTGTATTTCAATAAAATTTTGCACTATTCAAGGGTGTTTTTTTTTTCAAATCGCGACAGGTATTACAATTTTTTTTTACTTTTTGTTATCACTCTTTACGTAGGGAACCACAAGTGTTCTGGCAAACATTATCTAAGTTAATTAGAAGCCTCTCTTTGTTTACCAAATTATAGCCACCGTTGTAAAGTCTAAGCCGTAATTTGTAGGCATTAAACCCTTTGATGTTTGTATGAAAAAGAACAAATAAAACCACTATTGCACCGTTCATTAGATGTTTTGTGTAAAGCAGACCTGGTAGACTATTGAATGGGGCAAAGAAGGAAAAACAAAAAAGAATAAATTTTTACAAATTAAAAATTTACCAAATGAGTAATCAAATAAAAATGTATACACCAAATGAAATGACAAAGCTATTAGGCAAACTGAATGTAATCTGTTTCATATTTGGTCTAAAAAACATATGGGTAGAAGACGTAAAGTTGACAAACCGATTCATTAGCACCCGTTCTTGTAACAGACTCTTGCTCTTCGCAGAGATTTTCTACATAATTTTTGCCTCAACGATCTTAGGGTCATTATTTACTCAGAAGAATTTGTCGGAGAAGCAGAAGACGGATCAGATGATGTTCAGTATTACCCTACCTGGCAACATAATGTTCCATTACATCTTATTGTACCGCAGACATGAGATCAGGAACCTTCTGTATCATCTAGCAGTGGTGCTGAAGGAGCACTACAATGATGAGGATTTAGAACGGGAAATGATCAAGAAGATTAAAGTGTTTTCTATTAGTCTCTGTGGTCTGGTGGGGATGGTGGTGGTGTCTTATGGTTTGAGTGCATTTTACCGCGTGGTTACTGCAGGTAAATCACTCTAATATGATTATGTACTTGTACCTACTTAAATATGATATTACGTATTGCTTCAAGTATGGAAATATTTGACTTCCATTAGAAGTTCTTTTCAGAAAAAAATATTTTGGATGATGAAATGAAATAAGTCTTATACGCGCCGTATTATCACAGTTCAAATTACTATCATCCCTTTTCCAGGTGAAACCTTTGTAACAATTACATCAGCGTGGCCAGATATTCATGACAGGTCTACGGCAGCTGGTTTAGTCAGAGTTTTCGTCTACTTCTGGTGGTACCCTTTCGCAGCACGGATCATGGTCACTTTCTTAATTCTAGTCACCATGCTAGTGTCCATATGTTATCAATTTAAAAATCTACAGAGTTACTTCTATAGCCTTGATGAAATATTTTCTGATGGTACACAGAGCCAAGAACAGAAGGAGAAGAAATATGAAAATGCGTTTAAACTTGGAATAAAGATGCATTCGCTTACATTGTGGTAGGTAGACGCCATTAATTGTGCACATTTTTCGTGTATATATTTTGTTGTAATTTAAAAATATTTTTTACCAGGTGCAAGAATCAGCACCAACACGTCAGTAAAGAACTATTCGCTACTGAAATATTTCTATTCTTCGGAATGTTGCTGTCCCAGCTTACAGCTTTGCTGGTCGGTATTGTATTTTATTTTTTTATGGAATAGAAGGCAAAAGAGCAGACGGATCACCTGATGGTAAGCGATCAGCGCCATCGATGGACACCATGGATTTTTATACATTCAATACAAATTCTGCTACGGCGTAGCAAACAGTGGGCTACGTCGTACTACGGGTCTATAGTCTAGCTAGTCACTCATATTGTTTCAATAAATAGCTCTAGGTTAAGTGTGGGATTCCCTGTCTTAATAATTCAAAGATAGTTAACTATTGTGCATAAAATAAATTATTTGATTAATTTCTGTTTAGGCTGGTGATCGCAATATGACTCAATTGGGCACGATGTTCATTACGTCGGTAACGACATGTCTTGCATTGGGATTCTTCATGTGGAATGGAGGCGACATCACATTAGAGGTATCTAAGTTATATTACGATACATTACCTACTATATTCTAATGAAGGTTTCTTTTTACAATAAGAATGTGATTGATAGACAAATTTTATAAAATATTAACGAAATTAAACCCACGAAAGTATAGTGTTAGTAGGTACGGACTATATGTAAAGAGATTTTATTTTCAGGCATCTAAGCTATCGGAGGCGATGTATTGTTCAGGCTGGCAGAACTGTTACGGACAATCATCTGTTCGCATCAGAAAGCTAGTGGCCAACGCATTGAGGCAGGCTCAGGTGAGTACTAAGGTGTTCCGAAACTTGTTTAGCTCCAAGTCTTTATGGAATCAAAGCGGTTTAAACAAAGAGTAGAAATAGTCAGCCAGCTCAAGGCGATATTGAAATAGTTTCGAATCTGCATGATACATATCAAGCGCGCGCATATCAATTCTGCTCCCCATCATATTCTAGCCTGAACGTCGATATATTTAGGTAGATACTGTAATAACTAATTACTTACTTATATTCTGCACGTTTATTTTTTCAGAATCCAGTGGTATATAAGACATTGGGGATTGTAGAGTTCTCCTACGAGTCGTACGTTAGGGTAAGTTATTATGTCCATAGATATCTCATTATTTCCTTTTTTAATTACGCTTTCGTTATTAACAATTCTTTTTTTTAGGATTTTAATCTATTTTTTATATGTTTCAGCTAGTTAAAATGCCATACTCCGCGGTGTCGGTATTCTATTGAAACTCCACGCAATTTACTCCGTCCAAGTAGTGGGACGGGAAATACATTTTAATTATTTTCAGTAGCTGTTATGTAACATTACAATTTTGTTCAATAAATTATTGTTCTACTTATTACTATTGATTTCACTCCTGTGCCGGTGCAGTTGAGAATCTTGTCATCGGGTAACTCCCAGGAGTACGGGATGGCGACTCGGATATGCCACATTTTTATTAGGTACATATATCTAATAATACGTCGGATGTCTTCTAGCTACTGATATACCCAAACCAAACCAAATTACATAACATAACGCCTTTTTTCCCGAAGGGGTAGGCAGAGGTGCACATTATGCCACTGTACAATATGACACCCACTTTTCACTATTTATGTTATGAGTCCCATGTAATAGGGGGTGAGCCTATTGCCATATACCGGGCACAATTCCAGACTCCGTGCTGCAACTACTGTGAATTTTTTTGTAAAACCCAGTAATACTTTGCCCGACCCGGGAGTCGAACCCGAGACCCCTTGCCCGGCAGTCGCACTTGCGACCACTCGGCCAATAAGGCAGTCAAACCCAATTACAGTACATTATTTATTCAATTACATTATATTGCTTAATTGGAAAACTTTCTAGTTTGTTCGAAAAGTTTCGACTAGGTATAAATGCTAGCTTTCGAGCATGACTAGATCGAAAGATATAGTTAGCTTTATACAGCTGAAGCAACAACGTTAGTCACTTGGTGTATAATAATTCGTAAACTGAAAAATATCTACATTGATGGTTATGTAAGAAACCTCTGCCCAGTGGCGTAGCGTGGCTCGTATAAAAATTTGTTTAGGGGCCCTTGAAGGGTAAACATTTCTCACAAGAGTTTGTTTTTCCATAAAATACTTATAATCTATGTGAAAACCGAAAATCTTTTCAGCCTTCTGCCCTAATTAGCGTACTTTAATTAAGTAGGTACTTTTATTTTTCTTAACTTTCTGCCAACCTTTGAACACAATGACATGCTTTACGCGGGAAAAAATCATTTATTTTGACTTTTGTGATTACTGAAATAGAATAAAAATTGGTAAGTTTTTATTAATATTTGCTTAGGCACGTTAGGGGCGCCCAGTATAATTGTTTTTTTAAGGGGAGAAAATCATCGAATGGCTGCTCCTGCCTGGGTGAGGCGGGAGGGAGTGTCTGACTAAAAACCACCCCGTTCCTTCTCCTGCACGTCGAGCCGGAGACCCGGTAACCCGTTAGGTTCTCAGCAACACCCTGTATAATTGATACGGCAGATTCTAAACTATTGGTAAATCTTCTACACTATATCAGGTGTTAAGAATCTTTCAATGAGTAAGATTTTTTACAGGATAATACGCATAAGACAGAAATCAAAAATTAAAAAATATTATATTTAATTATTTATTAAAATTTATGCACAACACAGATACAGTACACAGGAGAACACACACATATATAAATAAATTGGAGGTACATAGGTACTACATATTCCCGTAGAAATCTTTACGTTTTGACTCCGTTTTAAGAAACCAGAAACCAATTGTCTTGAAAAAGACAGTTTTCGACTTTCTTGCATAGAAACGATAATCATCACTGCGGCAACAGCGTTATCACACCGTGCCGCGAGCGATCGCTTCGAAAGAAGCGGTTTGGTAAAGCAAGCAGCCAAGCAGCGCAACCGGAGCCGGAGCCGGAGGCCGGAGTACTTGCATTTGTAGCTGCACCGCACGACTACATACCTACCAGTTACCAGTACCACCGAATACCTTTCCATATACCAGATACCTTCCACAATACCTTTACCAAAGTTATAGACTCACTCCGTTTAAAGAAACAAGAAACCAATTGTCTTGAAAAAGACAGTTTACGTTTTGACTCCGTTTTAAGAAACCAGAAACCAATTGTCTTGAAAAAGACAGTTTTCGACTTTCCTGCATAGAAACGATAATCATCACTGCGGCAACAGCGTTATCACACCGTGCCGCGAGCGATCGCTTCGAAAGAAGCGGTTTGGTAAAGCAAGCAGCCAAGCAGCGCAAGCGGAGCCGGAGCCGGAGGCCGGAGTACTTGCATTCATCTTCATTCATCTGTAGGTAGTCTTCAGTCTTCACTCAACGCCGGCTCTCGGAGAAGTGCGCGCGCTCGCGCCGCGCGGTCATACTTATACGGAAGGAACCGATAGTGCCGTGTGCAAAGCGGCGCCCCGCACCCCGCGCGCCCCGCGCACGCCGGCGCGCCGCTATTGGTCGAAACTATTACCTAACTATATCTGATCTTGTCTAGTTGTAAATATGTAAATAGAAATATAAGTAGCGTAGTTTGGCAAAATAAAATCATTCTTGTCAACACCTCTCATCGGAGTTTCACTACTACTAGAAGATAAGAAGAAACCTCCTCTAGGACACTAGGCTCTCCTACCTAGCTCCTAAACATTCATCTTCATTCTTCATTCATCTATAGGTAGTCTTCAGTCTTCACTCGACGCCGGCTCTCGGAGAAATGCGCGCGCTCGCGCCGCGCGGTCATACTTATACGGAAGGAACCGATAGTGCCGTGTGCAAAGCGGCGCCCCGCACCCCGCGCGCCCCGCGCACGCCGGCGCGCCGCTATTGGTCGAAACTATCACCTAACTATATCTGATCTTGTCTAGTTGTAAATATGTAAATAGAAATATAAGTAGCGTAGTTTGGCGAAATAAAATCATTCTTGTCAACACCTCTCATCGGAGTTTTACTACTACTAGAAGATAAGAAGAAACCTCCTCTAGGACACTAGGCTCTCCTACCTAGCTCCTAAAGACGGATCAGAGACTGCATTAGGTTGATCCTCGTTTTCAGAGGTCTGGAGACGCTTCAGCGAATGCAAAGAGAAATAAACTTTACGACTGATCTTTGTCTGTTCACCTGTTCACCCCACGAAAGGATAGAGTTAATAAACACGCCCAGATTCTTGGCAACATCAGTGTAAGGGATAACATTGCCGTTCAGGCTCAAAGGATCAAGGGCAGAGATGCTCAATGCGTTACGGTAAAACCTACCGCCAACCGCCAATTATCATAGCCTTAGACTTGAGGGGGTTGATTTGCAGGCCAAAGGATTTGGCCCACTCGTCGACCCTACCCAGGTCACGGTTCAATTGCAGAGTCGACCTCTGACAGCTTGAAATAACGGTAAAGCTGCAAATCGTCTGCGTAGAGGTGGAAATTAGAAGTGATAGGTAACCATGGCAACGGAGTTAATAAAAATTGAAAAAAAGAACTAGAGAAAGGACGCCGCCCTGAGGCACGCCAGCAACGAGGTCACAATCGGAAAATGTATCCTCTCTAGGCGAACCCGCTGACGGCGGCCCGGAGATAGGAGTTGAACCAGGATAAAGAGGAAGAGGAGAAATTGTAGGACTAAGAATACCCAACAGGAAATCAAAATCTACGGAATTAAAAGAGAAACTGAAGTCCAACAGAACAAGAAGAGTGAGAGATTTATTATCCATGGCCCAGCCAATGTCGTCTGTAACTTTGAGCAAAGCTGTGACGGTGCTGTGACCAGGACGAAAACCTGACTGGAAGGAGGAAATGAGATTATTGCTGGATAAATAGGCCGTTAGTTAGTTATTGCTGATTGCTTAGGATAACTTACCTTCAATTTTTAAACATCAATGTCATTTTCATTGTCATTGTCTTGCTTGACTATCTTGTCAATGTCAATTGTCAAATCAAACAGCAGCAAGAAAAAGTAACAGGGTGTCTGAAGAAATGGATTTAATTTAATGAAATTATAAATAACTTATTAGTCTTTATTGTATTAAAAATTCAAATTTATGATACTTAGCGTTAAAGTACTTGTGATGAATACATCCTTGAATCGCCACTAACAATTTGAGGTTATATTATTGTTTTAAACAAAACCGGACGACGCACTGATATTTTTCTTATAAGTTCTGCAATAAAAAAAGTATCTCAGACGTTAAAGTGTAGTATAAGTACTAAGGAAAATTATCAAAAGAGCAAGTGAAATTTCCATGGAGGCAAATTAAATAAGCAATTGAACTGTGAACCATTCAGTGTTGTAAAGTGCTGTGTTTTTGTGTAGAATAATGAGGACGTATGCAAGGAAGCGTCCTAGCAACCAGCTAATTGAAGATGTACATGAACTATGCCGCCTGTGTCTGAACAAAGCCATGGAGGCCATGCCTATCTTCACAAATGATTCAGACACTGTCTGTGCAACATTAGCAATCAGAATCATGATTTGTGTGGGTTTGGAGGTAAGATATGGATTTTTTGTATTTTGTGTTGACTATAATCTTAGAACACGTATAATCTGAAAAGAATTTGAAAGCTTCTATTGTATGAGCCCTCATAGAAGGACAGGGACCACTGCTAAAAGTGGATAAATATCTCATGGTTTGTGCAATATGAACTTAAATGAATAACTTGATACTATTTTCTTATTTCAGGTGACAAGAGAAGAATGTTTACCTAACATAGTGTGTATAGACTGCTATAATGAATTAAACAAATATTACACGTTTAGGAAGAAGTGTGAAGCTACATATCAAAAACTTAAGTCTCATGTTCTAGCAGTGAAAGAGAAACAGTACAAGCAGAAGATTTTAATGGATGTTGAAAAAAAGAAGATGTTGGAAGCAGAAAATAAAGAACAACTGAAGTTTGTTGTAACATTTGACAAGGAACAATATGATGAAGTCCATGAAGTGTTAAACTTAAACGGTGTGGCGCAAGTTAATAACTTTGTAGATGTATGTAATTTCAATATTTTAAAATATAAGACTATATTTTGCTCCCTAACTATTGTGTTGATTTTGCATTTTAGAAATTACCTGAATTAGATAAGGTTGATAGTACAGAAGAAGATAATAAAGAAAAAGAAACACTTGATCCAATTAATGAAGAACAAGTGAGTACAACATGTTAAGCAATATTGTGTCTAATAATTTCGTGAAAAACAGAAGTTGGGCCTGTATTATATTATATAACTATTGTGTTGCCATTTAATATGATGTAGACAGGTAGAGATCTTATAACTTCTGTTATTTATTATGAAATAGGTTTTACATATTTCTTTCTTTATGGAGTAAGATTATAAGATTCTATTAATTATTAATCATACTATTATTATAAATGTGAAAGTTTGTGAGGATGTATGTGTCTGTATTTGTTACTCTATCACATCAAAACAACTGAAGGGATCGGGTTGAAATTTGAAACAGGGATAGATTAAGGCCTGGGAGAACACATATGCTACTTTTTGTCCCACAGAAATTCGGTCGAAGCCACTGGCAGAAGCAAGTATAGAATAATTTCTATTTCATTATGTGGTTTAATCATTTATTCTACTCAAGACATACCTTTCTGACTGGATTTAGGTGTTGCATTGTTATCACATAATCGAACCAATAAAACTATGTAACTGGAGAATTGTATTGTAAACCTGATTGAAAAAGAGTAACTTATGGAGTTTCTTGCTCGTTCTTCTCCATAGGAATCTATGCCTTGGAATGAGCAACTAGCTTCACTTATAAATTTTTGTTGTTTGACATTCAAAAGTGCCATCCTGGTCTAATTGAAGTAAATGATTTTGACTTAGACTTTGACAAACTGATGGACAATTTTATTGTTTCAAAAGTGCCTATTTTAAGCACATGGCTAATTCATGTTCAACAAGCTATAACATAGCTCATATGTTCCAGCAATCAGAAGACTTAGAATCATCGAAGCCTGACATAAATACATTCTTGTCAACAATGTTATTAGAACTGGGTATACTGACGCAACAAGAGAATGTTCTGGAGTTGACCAATCAGAATATCAAGTCTTTGGAGCTGGAGACCGGAGACGGGAGTCAGATTACACTGGAATTGATGGAGGAAGATGATCTTGAGGAACAGGAACAGGTCGGATTTTGTGGCTTTATAATACTACTATCTACTTCCGCGCGGCTTCACTCACTCTGGTCAGCGCCTATTGATCGCAGCGTGATGTTTTATAGCCTATAGCCTTCCTCGATAAATGCACTATCCAACACAAAAATTATTATTCAAATCAAACCAGTAGTTCTGGAAATTAACGCGTCTAAATGTTGAGCATTATATAATAGTATTAGATAATTAGATGACTATTATTTAGTAGAAAAGAAGTTTGTAATATTTTTTCATACCCTATCTTGTAACTACTGTACATTTGTAGGTTTTACAACAATACTACAAACATTTCTTCCTTTTATTCAATGCCTATTATAATTATAGCTATATTGTGTACATGTAAAATCCAATTGGACTTCACTATTCTTTTATTCACATCGGAAAGATATCACAATTTTCAATGTGATGCTTAAGTTAAGAAAGTTCATCCTTAATAACTATTTTGGTTCTAATTTGCAGCCACAAGAACCGATAGACACAAATGAGGCGCCAAGCACAATAAAAGAAGAAAATGTTATCAAACAAGAAGATATTGTAACAAAGTATATTGTAACTAATACTGTTACCAAGAAAGATGTAAAGGGTGACAAGAAGAAGTAAGTACTATTATTATTTCAATGAGTTATTGGTAATCTATTCATTAGTGGTTTTGCTTATATACTATTTGACACTATGACTCAACTAGCCGCGGAGGACTTAACGGGTAGCCGGGGCTCTGGCTCGAAGTGCAGGAGTAGGAAGGGGGTGGTTTTTAATGAATAAGAGTCTGACACGCTCTTCCTCCCGCCTCACCCAGGCGGGAGAAGTGGTTCGATGATTTTCCCCCCTTAAAAAAATACTCAAGTAAAGTAACTACCCTCTGTAGATTGTAGAGGGTCATTTTATAAGTCAAAACTCATCATCTGTTCAGAGCTTTTAACAGAGTGCTCTACCTATACCTGACCCTTGTCTATACCTATGCCAGTAATAAGATCACCATGTAATACCAAATGTTACTATTATTCCAGTAAACTGATTAACACTGGGTCATGGTGCGAGGAATGTGGCAAACGCCTCGCCTCTAAGAGTGCACTCACTCGTCACATGCGTATCCATTCAGGGGAGAAACCCTTCACTTGTGATATGTGTGGCCGACGCTTCGCGCAGAGAGAGGTCATGCTACGACATCTACTGGTCCATGAAGGTATGTATACTTTAGTTACAAACTCTGGTGTTACCTATATGTAAACTTAATCATATCATAATCAAGACAATGATTAGCTTTCTAGTACAACCTCTGACTTAACTGTCTCTAGTGGTCGTTGTTTTTTCTGTCAGTGACCGAGCCACCAGTATGTTCCCTTGAATACAGTTTTGCCTGCCATGCTTACAAATGACGTGCAATGTCCCTGCCTCCGTTAGAGCGGCGCCCATACGCGTGTCCATCGTGCGACAAGAGCTTCACGCAGCGCGGCGCTCTGGAGGCGCACGCGCGCGCGCACGCCCCGCCCTCCGCCCGCCCGCTGGCGCTGCATCGATGCGACAGATGCCCCAAGGTCTTCCTACACTCCTCCGGTATGTACATATTTGGTGCGAAAGGGCGATAGATAATTATATATGGCAGGACAGGTTGCTCCGATAACTCTGATTCAAGAATTAATATCACATTACTTTGCACTGATTTGTATTACAGTAGAAACTCGATTAACCGGACTAATTATTGTCGGTACGCATTCGGATAATCGAATGCACTAAGAAAAGCGGGTTTTGTGCATACATATGTTGTAGGTACTGTTGTACATACGATGTTATGTACATATTTCGATTTGTCGTTTTAAGTCTTAAAAATTGCTAATGGAATTTGAGTGTTATATGATCAAGTTTGCCCGTGGCGCCCGCAGGCCTGAGCCGGCACATGATGATGCACAACGGGCGCGTGTACGAGTGCGGCGCGTGCGCGCGCGAGTTCAAGGACAAGAGCTCCCTGCTGCGCCACCTGCGCAACGCCAACCACGCGGCCCGACCTGCGCCCGCCAACCACGCGGCGCGCCCCGCGCCCGCCACTTGATCCACGACCATCCTATGAAGGACGGGTCTCAGTACATTCTAATCGTCACCAAGTTTCCAAGCCGTAGGCTGTGATAGTTGGCAATCTCTCGGTAGCCTAGCCATCGAAATGCGTTGACTTGATACATAGTTCTTAAGGTGAGTTCACATTTAAGTTGTTACGAATTATCCGTGTATTAAACTCACCCGCCGCTGATAACCAGGTTGAAAGCCAGCAGTACCCATGGTAGGTACATAGCTTTGAACCTCGTCATTACATGTTGTGCCAAATCATTGAGCTCGCTACATCACTACTTAATACATATCGGTTATCGATATGTAAATGAAATCATATAGTGGCAGACGTTAAATTAGTACAATTTTGCCTTATGAAATAAATATTAAACAAGTAGATCTCGTTATCTGCTGATAGTGTCGCTGTCGTAAAACTGAGACACTAGTTTCTAATGTTAGCTTAAATTTATTTTAATGAAGTGATCTAAATCATAATGATATACAATAATATATTTCATGGCCATTATCAAATGATTTGTAAATCAGTTAACATTGTAATATAGTTATATGCAATAAGTATATTTTAAAATATGGTCTTCTCACATAATTATAGGACCACAAATGTATTTTATGACAATTAGAAGGAATTATTTTATAAATAAAACACTATAATTTATTTACTTAAATATTTTATTGGAAAAAAATTATATTAAATCCAAGGCAACGTGGTATTGTAAAATTTTAAGAAAATAATGACAAGAAAATATCGGAATACTGGTGCAAGGCCGCGGCGCCGCTCGTCCAGCGCACCTCGGGCCTCAGACAATGGACATGTGACGGATGGCACTTATATTAACAAAACACGAACAATTATATTTTCATAACATTTTAATTTTCATAAAAACCAAGTCGACGCCACCGCATTGTAACTTATGGAATGCCTTCTATTCACTTAAAATTATATACTCCCTACAAGCATACATTTTAGTATCTATTTGAAATTAATTTTGTTCAAGAACAAGTGGGAACAGTTTCTAGGCCGATACATTGTCTCGGGAGACTATAATAATATAGTACATAACGTATTGGTCGCGCGATCGCTGCTCTCTATTACATAATATCAGGATAACAGACCGACTATGACGGATAACCGCTGAAACTGAACTGGAAATAGTAATTACACTTGCAGCTCTAACTCCCACATCTAGATTATAAATGATTATAAAAATAAATAAGGGGCGTCGCCCCCTCCCTTTCACCGCTACTCGATCGGACAAGACACTTTGTTTGTATTTTTTGAGCAAAACTCGTGACGTTAATGTTAATGTATGAACAACGTAATAGGTGTCGCAGTGCCCGTGCGTACGGTACGATACGATACAGTATGGTACAGCACGGTACGGTACAATGTAGTACGGTACGGTACAATATGGTACAGTACGGCCGGAGAGCGGCGAGCCAGGCTCCCGTCTGTCCACACCTTCACTCACACATCCGACAAACACTAAAATAATCAACAGACAAATTATAATAACCGAATCAACTACCACAATAAAATATAAGCCGCAGCACACAGCGACTATATGACTCGTACTAGATCCACCCGTACGATACTTAACTTTATATGAATAAAATCCAAATTATTTTCAAAATGATTATTATTAATAAAAACAATTCTGTGTGCTTTGATTTAATGATTTATCTGGCTATCGTAAACATACATCTCTGTAGCAAGTGATCCCTAGAATGTTCACATCATTAGGTTATAGCACAACGGTCTAAAATAAAATTACTAATAAGTAATAATAATCAATATTTACAGTTAGTTTCGACTACGACGCCCGACAAGCGAGTGTTCGTACACACTTTATGTAAGCACCGCTGAATCAAATGACCCTTTATAGTTGACAATCTCTTGACGACGGCAAAAGATACATATATTGCCTGGACGGTGTATAAAAATTATATAAAAATATCGTTCGATCATCAACGTACTATCACGATCGTCCCAGCACGCGGCCCGACCCCGTCCCGCACCACTTACAACCTCCAGTTTATACAATGACCACTCGATTAGTGTCAAGTTCAACGGAATGTTTGAAAACTACATTTTTGGCACTTCAGATAATGAATAGGTCGGGCCGCGTGCAGGGCGCGACTCAATTATAAGCTTTACGCGAATAGAGTAAAACCTACAATTGCTAAACTTATCCGCTTACATCTCTTATACGGTCGTCCACGACCTGTGGCGACTCGAGAGCTGATCTATGAATGCGTAGAGCACAAAACGAAGAATAGTTACAATCTTATTATACAACTATGTGGAAAGGACTCGTAGTGGGCAGTAGAAGATATGCTGGAGTAGTAGGTGGTGGATCAGCCCCGGCGTCGCGGACTGGCGGCGCTCTACATGTTCTCGAACTGGTCGACGCGTCTCTTGGTGTTGCCCTTGCGGATCTCGCGCAGAGTCTTGTATTTGTCACGTCCCTGGCGGACGTTCTCGCGGTGAATCTTGTCCATCGCGGTCTCCTTGGTTTCGTCGCGGGACTGCGCCAAGTCTTGCTTTAGAGCCTGCAGAGATGAGAGAGAGGTTAGGAAGATGAACATTATTGTCAACGTGGTCAAGAGGGGCGGGCACATGGAAGGCGGGCTACCTTGAGCTGGTTGTGCAGACGCTCGTTCCGCTCGGCCAGCGTGCGGCGGTCGGCGACGGGGTCGACGAGGTCGTCGGGCCCGCGCGCCAGGTCGCCGCCGCCGCTCTCGGAGCCGGCGTCGGAGGCGTTGTCGTGGTCGGTGTCGGGGCGCTCGTCGAGGTGGTGGTGCTGCGGCGTGGTGGCGGCCAGCAGCGCGGCGGCGGCCTCGTCCTGCTTGCGGCGCGCGTCCTCCACCTCCTCCTGCAGGCGCCGCGTCTCGCTGTCCTTCAGCTCCACCTCCTGCTGGATGCGCGACACCTCCTCCTGCTTGGCGCGGATCTCGTCTTCCAACTTCTGACGCTCCGCTGCTTCCATGTTCTGTGCGAATAGTATAGATAAACATTATCAGTCAAGAATAATACAAAAAATTCCAATGCTTTACAATAACTCGAAAGGTGACTTAGAGGAGTCGCTCTAATAAATCGACATAATAACGCATATAAATAATATGTATACGTACCTTAGTCTCCTCCAGGCGTTGCATCATGGCTTGCAGCTCGTTCTGGCGCTGCTCGAGCTCTTCCTTGGCGGCCTGCAGTTGGCGGAGCTGTTCCTCGAGGCGTCGGATCATGTCCTGCGCCTCCAACAAGTTGGCTTGTGAGCGTTCCATCTCCTCCTGCATTTGCCGCAGTCTGTCCTCGTATTCTTGTTGTTTCTTCTCTGCGCGCTCACGGGCTGCGATCTCCAACTGGAGCTTTTCTCTGTAATTTCAAAATCAGTTTTATTAGCTAAAAACACAAGTTTCAAGAATATTAGAATATATTTCTCGAATTTCACCTTTATAGAACACAAAAACGGTTACAATGAATTATTTTACCTCTGCGCCTGCTTGGCCAGCTTCTCCTCCCTGGCCTGCGCCTTCATCTGCTGCACGTCGATGGTGTCGGGCTTGCGCCGGCGCATGTAGAGCTCGTGGTTGCCCATGCACAGCGCCAGGATGCGCTTGTTGACGCGCACGCGCGGAGCAAAGAACACGAAGTCTGGCGCCTTCTTGTCGATCGGCTTAATTATGAACTTGCGGTCGTTGAATGATATGTTACGGATTTCTGACCAAGGGAAACCGATTTTGGGCGTAAGTCTGGAACAAGAAAGTTAAAGTTTAGAAATATGTGTGGTATAGTTTCTCCGAGAGACATTATGAGATATAGGGAGTACTGACTTGTCATCCTTTTCGTAAATGTTGAGTCCGAGCGCGTCAACACCGAGCCACAGCTCCGTGTTCTTCTTGTTGCGGATCTCGAAGTAGTTGACTCCATACATCTCCAGGTCCTGTGCAATCTTCAGGTATTCCATCATGGCGTCCTCGCGCAACATGCCGCGGTGCTCCTGCCACCAGTTCGTGATGCTTTGCTCCCACTCCTCGCGGGACATCTGTATCGTAGAAAGCTATTGTTAGTAGCTGAACCTTGATAACGTTGTCTGATTATCATGGTCGGATTGGGAAATATATTAGTGGTGAGGTGTGCCGGGAGTACGTACCTTATGCTGGTCGGTGACTCGCTGCGGCAGCAGGCGGTCGTTGGCGAGGAAGCCGGGGCCGTGCACGGCGGGGTTGTGGTCCCCGTGCCGCGCCTGCACTGCGTACGACGCCAGCAGTACTGACGTCTCAGGCGGGCAGTATATTTCGTCCGATAGGATCGCGTTCTTTACCTGAACGAAATACCAATATTTTATAGTAAAATGCAAATTCACTTTTATTATTACCTCAATACTAAATGTACCAAATGGTGCTTTTCCATGCCAAATCAAAATATAAAACGCCCGCATCGATAACCAATAAATATGGACGAATTGGAATTTCCTTTTTTAAGTCTTGCTAATAGATTCCAATTGATGCAGGCAGCTAAGGAGCGATACTGTGAAAGGGGCTGATGTAACGAGGTACATGCAAGCTGACCTCTATGATTGACCCTATTTAAGTACCACACCAGTCAAGGGTCGGCTGGACGAGCACGGAAATGGCAAAGAGTGGCCAATAATGGAGAATATACAAATACTCAGATGGAGGCCTCAGTCAACAATGGGAAGTAGGGCTAAATACAACAATCGAAGTAATGGCAGGTTGCGAGCCCTGACCCCTCAAGCAGAATTATCTGTAATTTATTTGTGATGTCTAAACACATAAGTGGGTTACCACATAGAATTATTCTATTAACTGCTTGATAAATATATGTATGCAAAATGTTTTTATGGATGGTGACTGCGTAAGTGCGTACACATCATTTTCGTAATTCTGGAAACAAATTGGTCTCTACATTTTGTTCTCAATGTATTGTCATTATAATAATGAGCTCTATTGCTCGTGTATTAGTGTCACTAATCAAATAGTCACTTACCTGGAGGTAGAACAGTTTGAGTGTGATCTCCTGAATAAGTTCGTCCGCGACGTCTTCGGGGTAGAATTTGGCGCGGAACTTGAACTGCAGTGGGTTTTCTTTCTTTACGTCTTGTTGCATCACCTGTAATGTACATCGAACGTTAGGATCTGGTGATCATACATAGCCAGTAGAAAATTTAGACAGGGCTTTTTAACAAGTTGATTATTACTCGATCTGTGTCAACATCATAGCTTTACATTTGCTTACAGCTTTACGTTTTTACTATTTATAATCTATAAATTGTTGCAAGAGTGAAGGATGCAGTCTACCCACATTGTACATAATTATAACACACACAGAAAATCAGTGAACAATACATCGTGATGTATCTTTAATCTTACCCATCTCGAGAACGGTAGCGACCCTGACTTCGTTGTGTGCCACGTAATCCAGGGGAAGCGTTAAAAAGGCAACAATTAATTACAATTCATCGCCATTATCTGACTTAACGTTTATATTAAATGCACACAACAAAAAGAACACAATTACATAACGATAAGGAACTTATGTTTATTTATTACAGTAATAATTAGCAAGGTACAAAATACGTCATGTGGTGATAATAATATTTTTCTCATTATCAATTAATTGGCAATAAACATTGCTTAGCTACAAGGAACGACTACGTAGCTAATACGGTAGCGCTTCTCACGATGATAAAAATATGCTGTAATTTGTTTTACGGTTCTAGCAAATACCTTATTCAACAATTAAATGAATGGACCACATAAAATATGTTGGACGATAAATATTTAAGTACAGGTGATAAAGTTCCATTTAGGACGAATATAATGTTGACAGAAAATAAATTTAATAATTTTAACAATTTGTCCAACATTGGAAATAGCAATAGCAAAAGAACAGTTAGAATGTAATTAGCCATTACAGTTATATTTACAAAGACACAATTACGAACCAATTTTGGAAATCGTATGTATAAATTATGGCAAGATTCTGCGAGGGCGTAGGGGACAATAAATTCAGCATATGACTTGATTTAAACGTTGCAGAGACCAATATAATGATAAATATCATGTTAGTAAATCATCACGTTAAACTTATGAGTACGCCCATATGGACAACTATAATTGCCTGTAAACCGTTTAAATAATGTAGAACGAATTGTAAAATGGAGACTCATTTTACACCCAGTTGTGGGTATGTCAGTTTGAAGGTACACAAGTAAGTGGGTTAATAGAATTTGATCGTTTAAGATTTCTGTTAATGAAAGGTTAGTGACCGCGTTGGGACAGCTGTAAATTCATTAAGGCTATGACAGTCGTATTATTACAAGTACCTACCGTTGTACTTCATCATTTACGAACCAAGTACAAGGCGAGACACGAACTCTTAAAATCTTTAAATCGTTATTAAATTTCGTCATCATTGCCTATAGATACAGCTATATCAACATTCCCAGACTAATATAAATTAAGGTAAAATGTTTGATAATTTGATATCTTGTTAGTCATTTACGAACCTATAGATTTTAGATTATTTTATTACGTCAAGGATTAGTAAATAAAACATGTGTTTTCTCAACTGTTGTGTATTCTCAACCATAGGTTTACACTGTAATTATGTGACAAACGTGGCCTTAGAAATAACAAAATCTTGAAGTTTACAAAATAAAAATGTAGTGTTTTAAACATTGTTCATGAATATTTACTGTATTTGCACGTTCGCGTAAATAACTCGTAAATCTTGATAAAACTGCCTTTTGAAGTGTAGTGTCACCCTTGGTAGTGAGTATTGTTTGTAGTAGATGGATTTATCATTTATATGAAGTACACGCCGAACATGTACTTAAGGCAATTTAAAATTCTAAATAAACAGTTGATTGCAGTCATCATAACTTTTAAATTTAATCAACAATTAATGAAATCATGATGAATAAATAACCTAATCTACGTTATTTCCAAGTCATGATGATGATATAGTTTTTATTAGTAAACCATTAAGATTTCCCAAATTAAACGTCACTATTATTAATGTGTTAATCACATAGTGACAGACTGCTATACACGTTCACGTCATTACAAATAAGTACAAATTATTTCAGAAATACTGCACTATAAAAACTGCATCGAGACAAGAGCCAGATTTATTGGTGTATGTTTACTGCAAAAATGACCTTGAAATTTTTAAACGTAATTAATTACATTAAAAACTACCGGGTTCAAATTCTAATTAGTTCCTATGTTTGCAGATTTTAATTTTATCCAATGATTAATTGCTTGTTTTCAAACATCGTTTTACAACTTTCGTTTGTAAAGTAAAAAACAACAAATTGAAAGTTTCTTAAAACTCTCCTTTTTTAGATGCATTCCATTCCATAGATTTGCGAATTGACCGTACAGAATCAGGTAACTAAACGTAGCGAATCAACTTGGTTATGATCGGTAATATTGAATTATGATCTAACGAGAATGATACTTGTTGGATTACAAGTAACTTAATACACAGTGCCGTGGAATGGCGGACCTGCTACTCTTATACAAATACATACTATACAGCTACTAATAGATCTCTAAACAGAATCACGTAAACTGCTTCTAAAATATGATCTGATAGAAAATTTAGAGCAGCGTGAATATTTACTTTGAAATTCATAAAAAGATTATATTTTGATAACCGTAGATAAATCTGCTTCATACAATATTGACGTAGAGTTTGACGTCACGGACACTTGTGATAATTCATGCCTATCTTACACTTCATATATACCCAAACAACTCCTTGAACGTCAAGAGACATGGCCGGTACTTTATTCCACACTAGCAACACTACAAATCTACTTGTATCATTAGCTTAGCCTTCTACAATCCCTGTAGCTTCCCGATCCAGTCTTACCAGATCGTCGGCTCTGTCGTAGGCAGCTTCTTCATCTTCGTCCTCGGGAGTCATTAGTTTCTTTACAGCAGACGTGAGCACTTTACCAGTTTTCTCCACAATCGACTCAGGCTTGTAACCATATAAATTTTACCCAGCTGATTAATTCAAATCTTATAAGAAAGTGTGCCTCTTTATTAACTTTGCAATAGTGTTTTTACATGTCTTGATAAATTTAAAACTCTTTAATCAAGTAACTATTTGGAAAGACGTCAAATATATAAATGTAGCAAAAATACTCCTCAATGTCATCAGGTCGTGACTATCTTGTTTTACAAATATCCTCATCGAGCGTCTGCCATGATACAAGCGAACGATGACAGGCTTCTAAAGTTGCTATGCACAAGTATGTATATATATATTATGTTCTGTGATCAGCAACTCGGCGTTGTCTTAGACGCTCGCGCGTTGAGCAACGAGCGTCGTGGGAGCGGCGAAAGTACGGTCGTCGACCCCGTCAATGATCGGCGCACAATCAGCTGTTCTTATGCGCGAATACCGATGATAAAGATTGCATTGATGTCAATCAATTTTAATTGTATGTTTGAATTATCATATACGCGACACTAGATCCATAAAGTACGATTATTAAAAAGTAAAATCAATAAATCGAATCATTGGCAGTTTTTTTTAAACTTTTGTGGAAGACAAATGAGAGTATCATTTATAATTTCCTAGACACGGAATTTATGTAAGATTTAAAAGAAGCTGATACATCGCGAATTCCCCGCACCGCGTACGTGATTGCATTAACGATATTCACTGCCAATAGCAATGAATGTGGCTTATGATCACTGCTTATGATACAACTCAAATTGTTGGCAAATAGTCGGTAACATCACACAAAACGTACTTATGAAGGCGAATTTTTATCCTTGTGTATGATGGAGACAGGCTGTGTATTTATTACACCCATGAGGGAAAATGACCGTCTACGTCGGTAAAGTAAATAAGTTTTGCCTATAACATTATGATCGAATCGGTATATTAATCGTGATATTTCTTATTACGACCGTTTCACAAGAACTCCTGTGTTGTGGTTAGAGAATGAGGAAAATTAAAGTACATGGAAAAATGTTGGGGTTTTCATCAATAAACCTCTTATTCTAATCATGAATGCATTCGCGCACGCATCTGTGTCATCCAATGGGCGTAATGTTAGACGGCGATGTCCATTTGGTTGTCTCTGTCTATCATAACCTAGTTCGCGGACGACGCCATGGCCCGCCACCTTGCTCGACCCTTCTCTCAACTGTTGCATTGGCACAATTGTGTTTATTAAGAGGAAAATGCTTGTGATTTTTACTAGAATTTCACTACTCACTACATTCTCTCATACAATTGCAAGGCTTTTAATCTGTTTGAGTTGAATACATAAGATATTCTTCGGCTCGATTTGGTTTGGAAGATTTATTGACATACATATAAGTATTGCAAACATGGCTGAACTCGATATCACGTAAAGTTCACAGCTCGCCCCAAGTACACGTCGACCGCAAATCGGGTTCTCTATTCACCACGTATGATACCCGAGACGCATTGTTATGCGTTAAGGAAACAGCAAGGTCGTCTGTAGTCACCGTCATGGCACTTTCACCTGTCTATCGTACAACTTAAAGAACTCATTAACCTACAAATAGTCACAAAATGTCGGACTCAAGGAGGTAATTATTTGATGTTAGTTACGTGTCATGAGCGTCATCCATCAGTTTGTTCGCAAACGTCTATATAGTCAAATTTATTTTTGCATAATGAGCACCTGTTTCAACGTAGTCAAGGGCATGGTATTGTATGGTGGATAGTCGTGATGATCGCACCTGGTACTTGGCATTCGGCGTGGGAACGAGGTCACGCGGGCGCACTGTTGCGCTTCGCTGACCGCGCTTCATGTACGTTTGAACCTGTCGACTGTACATCCAACATACAATAACAAACACACTCTTTACGGTGGTACGCCATCGTAGTACAACTAAAATATGCGGAATTCCGTCGGTGAGTGTAAAGAAAGTGGTCCACCGCTGTCAAAGAGCAGACAACTTAGTTAGCAACCAAATGACCTAGCAAACGTGTCACTTTTGATGATAAAAGAAGACAAGTGCTGACTCCCATACTACATTGTTGTTATTGAACTAAAATAAATGATGCAAGTGCGACTGATATTAAATCCAATTTCTGAACTACCTATACTA